TTAATATTGGTTTTTTAAAAAAAAATTCTGTTTGGATGATTTTGTGTTTTGTTGTATAGTCAGACCTGCACGACTGTTTTTGCTTTAGTTTATGTAATGCTATCTGGAGATAGCAAACAAGCTATGTGAAAAATGCAGTGTGAAATCAGTTTTTCCATTGCAATTAAAAGCATATGGACACAAGGGGCGATACTCTCTGCAGTCCTGGGTGGAGTTTACATGAAAATCGGGATTCCAGACCAGAGTTAGGCAACACTTACATTAATTAGGCAAGAGGTCATACAAGGTCACTTAAGGTCACTACAAAAAGATTGACACAGTCTCCGACTGAGATACATATCTTAAAGATGGCATTCTCAGAACGCATAGCGACACTGATAAGGAGAAATGAGCATGACTTTTACAGACATCATAAGGGAAATCATAGCTCGCAGGACTATGAAAATAAATTGGCGTTTAATTATAACCATATCTGTCAGTTGTAAAGAGATTGTCTTTCTTTGAGGTGGAGTTTAATGTTATGTTGGCTTTGCTAGACTGCATGGGAAAGTTTGTACAAAATATATATATACCTTTGACATTTAACATAATACAGGTAGTGTTTTGACAGGCGCAGTCATGACAAACTAACAACAATTCATGTCTTGATGATGGTTAGAACGAATTATTTAATCATCCCGCACACGAGTCTTGATAATTTTTAGTCACAGACAGAATTAGTCGAGACACATGTTACCTTTGTTTATTGCATGTAGCAACGTTATAATGAAACCCCTAAAAACTTCACTTTGATTTGGAAATAAACGTAGCAGTTATTGATGAATAATAAAAGAGATACTGAATTGATAGTGTTGTGTCAGTATAAAGAGGATACAGGAGGGGCTATAATTGAAGACTGAATTACAGATACTTGGGTATCTCAGTGACTTGATGATGCTCAGCCCTACACAACAGTCAGTTACATTGTCATGTGTAGTTTACATGTATTTTAACACGTAAATCATTAAATGTAGGCCACAGTGATCTATATTTCATTTTTCTCTGACTTTGGTTTAATACTATTGGTTCACACCATTTCCATCAACTTAGAATTGTATAGAGATACATGCTACATATAAGTCTTATACACTTTGTTCTGTGTGCCAAGTGAAAAGGTAATGTTGACTATTAATATTACAATCTGATACAACCTGAATATCCCATATAGGAGACCTTCAGCTTCTCTGTCGCTGTTGTATACAGTAAAACCTTGTACTATATTTGTGAGTAAAACTTTGTTACAGTCTTGGTTTACCAATATACCAGGGACAGGTTTCATATCAAATCCATATCATTACAACAAGGTGTTGCCATTCTATATACAACTTTCATAAAATGTTTAGTCAACTTTTTTGTCTGTAATGATTAAATGAAAAATAGAAAGGTATCAATTTATTTTTTACATATATACTGAAGACATGGTTTACGTAATACATGGTGGGTGAAGTATGCGGTCAATTATGCAGGTTGTATCCTCCATCAGCCCTACCTACTTTACAGTGAGTGTGGTGCATATTACACTGTTAGTGTAATACTGTTACTGTAATTGTCCTAATGCTTTGTGGCATGTGTCTGTGTTATGGGAGTAGGTTTGGGTGTGGGGTAATCTAGGGTGTTTCATCACTGCCATGCCAACATTTCAACCAAGGGAGACAATTTAGTCATTCTGTAATAGACTTTAAAATTAGGGTTACTCTAGAGTGTCATAATGTTCTCATTGCAACATTTTGTGCAGGGGAGACAACTTTCTAATTCTATTACAATATTATTGGATAGGGTTACTGTAGGATGTGATAATACTCTCATAGCATTATTTTAACCAAGAAAAGATCATTTCATCTTTTTGTAATAAAGTCAAGCGATTAATCTATTGTGGAAATTGCCAAATGTTCTCATGCAAAAAAATAACTCTGTTTTTGAAGTGTAGTATGATGTTATGAAAGTGACCATCATAGAAACTTCTTAATTATTGAAATGCCATCACTACATTTTTCAGAATTTGCCCCATATAAAAAAGATCATTGTGATGTATTCAATTTTCTATCTTGCATGGTGTTATCTTAATTCTAGACATCAAAGAAGAAAATAATTACTTTTTTTTCAAAGAAATAGTTCTTTGCATTAGCCAGTGTAAGCTCAGGAAATTGATATTTTATAATGAGATAGTAAAAAGGAAATCCGCAACCATATGTCTGAGGCAGTTTTGATTTATGTACAAATATCAAAGCCATGCAGATCTTGTCTTTAACTAGGTAAACTGATTTTTTGGATTGGAAGGAAAAACAAAAATATGATATTGAACAAAATATGACACAAATAAAAATTCTCATATGATATTGATTTCAACTTTTCAAATACCATATGTCTAACAAGTTTTGGAGTTGCAAAAACAATTTCAAAATTCATTGATTGAAAAATTACAACAAAATGATTTCTGTCAATCAAATCTCCGTAAAAGTTATTACTGTTGGTGGTATTTTATTTACATTTATTCATGTTCAATCTTTTTTTCTGAAATAATCTAAATATTAACAGTTCTGACATACTATAAACAAATAGTTATTCCTCATATTTAATTTGAACATAAATATTAAATCCTTTTTAATGATTTCTCAGGGCATAAACATATCTACAGATACATGGATGAGGTTTTGTTAGAAAGCATGTTATTTCTTAAAATGGTAGAGGTCTGTCAGGTAAAACTATTAATAATTGTTTTATAATCTGTGTTAGTCAGCTGGAGGAAGTAAATGTAGACATTTGATCTGGTTAATAGATGTTCATAGGTTTTGCAAGTTGTAATCAAATGGTGTAAACAATTAATAGCTTATGTAAAGTTTTGTTTATGTATATTATCCCTAAAACAATATCTATCAACTATAACCATTTTGGATTGTCTCGGTGATGTACATATTAAAAAATACTGATTTCATGTATAGGGCTTTGGATAATAAATATTTTAGTCTAGACATAATATTCTGAGGACAGCTGATTAAATCTAGCTTAACTATCCTTGAATATCAATTTTCAAATACACTTTTTAAAAAATCCAAAATATTCACAAATATTTATTGGTCAGAAAAACATTTTTAGTTCTAGAGCATTTACAATAACTTTCAAATTTCAAGAATTTCAAAAATATGCCAGATGAAATATTTGTATTAACATGTAATTATCAATATGACCCTACAACAAGGAGACATGCAGGTCCATTTGATACTGACTGCTGTTTAACAAAGGTCTTACATTTGTGATCAATTAAAACATTTTATCTATGTGATAGCAAGTTTTTATGTCTCAGTAAATTGTAAGGCAGAGTCTAATTTCCCCGGGGAAACATTTGATCCTTCAAATTTCTGATGTCTTGGTCTCCATGTAATTCATTCAAGATACTGCCATCTTTCTTCACAGAGATGATATCATGAGTTAATTTGTGGTTTGATTTGTGCCAGGATAGTTAAGTAGCTCCACATGTCTTTATTTAATCCAAATTACACATTTATAATTTAATATAAACTCCACTACCATGGGAAAACACTGCTGATGTACTCCCATACTCTATAGTCATAGTCATTGCTGGATAGTTTGTTATCAGTTGTACGCTTTGTAACCATTTTACTTTTAATACACTGTCTGCTCCTAAGTTCATACAAAATGTCACTGCAAGCTTTGTGGAGTTACCTCCCTTCTTAGGAAAGCTGTTAAGCATGTTTTTTTTTAACCTTCAACATGATTTTTGATGTCAAATTTTAGTGATAGTTGCAAGGTGTATAACTTATATGGAATATTCTTACAAGAACTAGTGACATATTTGCAATATTATGAAATAATTGGTTGCTTGTTTGCAGTTAATCGTACCAACATAGATTTGCCATAAGACTATCACCTTCGAGTGTCCCCATCTTAGCACTTTACTACCATAAAACCATCACCTTTGAGTGTCACCATCTTAGCACTTTACTATCATAAAACTATCACCTTTGGGTGTCCCCATCTTAGCACTTTACTATCATAAGACTATCACCTTTGGGTGTCCCCATCTTAGCACTTTACTACCATAAAACCATCATCTTTGAGTGTCCCCATCTTAGCACTTTACTATCATAAAACTATCACCTTTGGGTGTCCCCATCTTAGCACTTTACTATCATAAGACTATCACCTTTGGGTGTCACCATCTTAGCACTTTACTATCATAAAACTATCACCTTTGGGTGTCCCCATCTTAGCACTTTACTATCATAAGACTATCACCTTTGGGTGTCCCCATCTTAGCACTTTACTACCATAAAACCATCATCTTTGAGTGTCCCCATCTTAGCACTTTACTATCATAAAACTATCACCTTTGGGTGTCCCCATCTTAGCACTTTACTATCATAAGACTATCACCTTTGGGTGTCACCATCTTAGCACTTTACTATCATAAAACTATCACCTTTGGGTGTCACCATCTTAGCACTTTACTATCATAAGACTATCACCTTTGGGTGTCACTTTACTACCATAAAACCATCATCTTTTTACTACCATAAAACCATCATCTTTGAGTGTCCCCATCTTAGCACTTGACTATCATAAGACTATCACCTTTGGGTGTCCCCATCTTAGCACTTTACTATCATAAGACTATCACCTATGAGTGTCACCATCTTAGCACTTGACTATCATAAGACTATCACCTTTGAGTGTCACCATCTTAGTTCATATTTAAATGATTTTTCTATCATAAGGCTTTCAGATGCAACAATCAAACTAACTAAACAATGAAAGATGAAGATTTCTTGATATTTTAAATACAAGTTATTATCATTTTCAGTCCTTGTGACATTTACAAATACAGAATGTTAATGTTTAGGAGTTTTTTTTTATCTGTTTGCCCAACACCAGTGATGTTATCATTTTGCTGGGCTTTAGATGTTGGGTATTGTGATGATAAGTGTAGCTGTGTGTTGACTTACCTCATCATCGACATTTACCATGTGGTGCAGAGGCTGTGACTGATGTAAAGGGATGGCTTCTTCCCAATCTGATCTTCTATCAACACAGCCATATATCATCGCACAGTCTCAAAAAAAATTTAAAAAGTCCTCCACTCACAACTGGTGAAATAGTTCTGGATCTTGTCAGTGCCAGCATAGATCACTTCTCAATCTCCCAAAAATTTCTTGACATTTGACATATCAAAAATTGAAGAACAAACAGAAAGAGTTATCCAAACCTGAAGTAGTTCAGTGAGACTTATCAAAATTTGAAATAAAACAGTGATATTGTTAGTAAAACATAGGTAGGAAGTCGTGTGAACTTCTGTCAAGAAGGATGCCCCTGTTTATGGTAAGATGGGACGTGTTAGCTCCAACACTCCATAGCCAGTCTGCCAGTCTCTGGTCCCTTAGAATGCTCTGTAAATATCACATCATTAGAGCCTAAGGGATCTACCCATTCCCAGGGAAATTATTTGTGCTAGTATATATCATCCTACACTTATATTTATAACTGAGTATATACATGTGTGTGTCATGGAGCCAGTGAATTCTCGTTGTTCTTAAGTACATACATGTGGCATGTTTTAAAGTTGAAACAGACCCTATTTAACGTGTATAGCTGTAATACTTTATATCACATTAGGGTACACTGTATATAAGAGATATCCTCCTAACTGACGTCTGCTATAATAAGGCTTTTGTAGTGGATGGAATGACAGTTATATTTCTCTAAGGTTGTTCCTGTAGTTTTGTAAACTCTGTACAGCTTTATGACCCTGGGTGCCTGTGATAAGAGCTGGATGTTGGTGGTTTGAAATCACCTCCTGTGGCACTTCTTTTTGTTAGGAGTTCTATGTGTTTACAGGGTAAAGCTTCACTTGTATACAAATGTATAAACATTCTGGTCTGACCTGGTCACATCGCATCATATTCATTTTTCTTTTGAGAGTCACTTCAACATAATGTGGTCATCACCCTCAGTAAAGGGGATGTTTAGTTACTGTATTAACCCTGAAATAAGCCTGTGTGTTCAACACATTACTGCTGTCAGTGTTGGGCTTATAACAGAATAAAACCGAATGTTTCATTGTGGATTCTACTGCACATAAGTAGATCATTTGTTTATAACCCACCAGTACTATATTTACTACATACTATGAAATCATTCTTTTTCAGAACAGATTTATTTTCCTAAACTTTGTGGATACTTTTAATCCACAAATTAATATGTCCATGAACTGTTAAGTTCTCAGTAGATTTATTTCTCCACCTCTATCCATGAAATGTAGTGTCCATGAATTATTTTCTTTTTGAAGCAGGATAATTGAGCCCCATAAAACTATATGATTAGAAGTAAGTGGCTGATATCAAACCATGGAGGTTCAATTATGTAAATCATACTACCATAAACATATTTCAAGGATTTGGCCATAAAAAATGATTAAAAAAAATTGAAAAATTTCATTATTGATAAACATACTAAATTAAGCAAGATTTTTTGGTTTATTTTACATGGTTGGAGGTAAGAGAAAAAAATGTTGGCTTTTACAACTAATTTATATCTGTTTCAAGAAGAATAGATCGCCATATCAAACCCAGTAAGAGAGCTTTTCTAATTGTCATCCATTTTACGGGGTCAGTAAGAGCACACTTCTTCACCATGTTGCCATACTTGGCTCTCTCTAACTGCAGTATTTTTTAAATTAAAAACAAAATCCAAGCAATCAGCTTCATTCTTCTGATTTTAAAGCAATGATGCATCTCTATTCTGTAACTCAAGTCTGGAAATGAAAAATCATCCTCAAGATTATATTCTATTAAGTCGGTGATGTTTTTCTTTTCAAAACGAAGATGTATTCTGAAATTTGTGAAAATGAAGCTTTATTTTGTCAATAAAAGTAATTTACAATGAGTTAATATGTGTGACCTGTTCATTTTTATGTTGCAGTTTGTTTGTGGAGCAATGTTTCAAACCTTTCTCAGCCGACGTTGTCCAGGAGGGAGTGTACAAACGTCTGTGTGCAGAAACCAGCCAGTACCTTACAGACCTTACCATGAAGGTTAAATAGTAGGTCATTCTGTCATTTTACATTAATGTCTACACTGGTGAAATTTCCAGTAAATATTCAAAGATCAAGTTTCTCTGAAATTAAGACTGAATTGATTTTTTGACAAAATTTTCAGTGTTTCATCTCCTACAGAAATAACTGTTTGAAGAACCATGCTAGACTTTCAATTCTTTCAAAATGACACTTGGTTTGAAAACTCTTGAATGTATCTGAGTGAAGAAACTACATGATCTGTTCCCAAGTTTAGATCAGAACTTCAGTTAATTACTTATATTGGTAGTATCAGCTCTCATTACCTGGATCATTTCAAGTTCATAGTATTTCAAAGTGTAAGGGAGGTAACTGTTATATCAATATTACAACAGGAACTCCTTGATTGCAAGTGAGGACAAAAATCGACCACAGCATCATGAGAATTAGTTTGAACTATTCAAGAATTCAAATATGTTATATGCTTGCTTCAACTGTAGCAAATAAATTATTTTTGGATTTTTCTTTTCTTCCCTGCCAGTCGGGAAAAGAACTTGAACACTGGTCTCCTTCCAGACATTCAGCGACGCATCAAATTACCAGAAAGAGAGCTCAAGGTAGGTCTAACATACAGGATCAGGGTGTGAGGGAATTCATGGTAGGTCTAACATACAGGATCAGGGTGTGAGGGAATTCATGGTAGGTCTAACATACAGGATCAGGATGTGAGGGAATTCATGGTAGGTCAAACATACAGGATCAGGGTGTGAGGGAATTCATGGTAGGTCAAACATACAGGATCAGGATGTGAGGGAATTCATGGTAGGTCAAACATACAGGATCCGGGTGTGAGGGAATTCATGGTAGGTCTAACATACAGGATCAGGGTGTGAGGGAATTCGTAGTAGGTCTAACATACAGGATCAGGGTGTGAGGGAATTCGTGGTAGGTCTAACATACAGGATCAGGGAGTGAAGGAATTCATGGTAGGTCTAACATACAGGATCAGGGTGTGAGGGAATTCGTGGTAGGTCTAACATACAGGATCAGGGTGTGAGGGAATTCGTGGTAGGTCTAACATACATGATCAGGACGTGAGGGAATTCGTGGTAGGTCTAACATACAGGATCAGGGTGTGAGGGAATTCATGGTAGGTCTAACATACAGGATCCGGGTGTGAGGGAATTCGTGGTAGGTCTAACATACAGGATCAGGGTGTGAGGGAATTCGTTGTAGGTCTAACATACAGGATCAGGGTGTGAGGGAATTCGTGGTAGGTCTAACATACAGGATCAGGGTGTGAGGGAATTCGTGGTAGGTCTAACATACAGGATCAGGGTGTGAGGGAATTCGTTGTAGGTCTAACATACAGGATCAGGATGTGAGGGAATTCATGGTAGGTCTAACATACAGGATCAGGGTGTGAGGGAATTCATGGTAGGTCTAACATACAGGATCAGGGTGTGAGGGAATTCGTGGTAGGTCTAACATACAGGATCAGGGTGTGAGGGAATTCGTTGTAGGTCTAACATACAGGATCAGGGTGTGAGGGAATTCGTGTCTAACATACAGGATCAGGGTGTGAGGGAATTCTAACATACAGGATCAGGGTGTGAGGGAATTCGTGGTAGGTCTAACATACAGGATCAGGGTGTGAGGGAATTCGTGGTAGGTCTAACATACAGGATCAGGGTGTGAGGGAATTCGTGGTAGGTCTAACATACAGGATCAGGGTGTGAGGGAATTCGTTCGTGGTAGGTCTAACATACAGGATCAGGGTGTGAGGGAATTCATGGTAGGTCTAACATACAGGATCAGGGTGTGAGGGAATTCATGGTAGGTCTAACATACAGGATCCGGGTGTGAGGGAATTCATGGTACATCTAACATACAGGATAGTTAATGTAAACTATCCACGTCAATATCATGTAAAGGACAGTGTGACTGAAAGAAAAAATACACCAAGTTGCAAACATTTGGCAGTTTATTGTTTCTTCAATTGTATTGTATTTATAATTAAACAGAAAGTTATTAAGTCAGTAAATAAGATTTTGAAGACAAGTTTTGGACTTTATATCATTAGTCTGATGTTTTAGCTGAATATTTTGAGATTGATTTCTTGGCTATTGATATTTTGGGTGCGCACATTATGCAAGTAGAAGCACTTTTTGCCATTTTCAGCCCAAAAAAGTTTCTGGGCACATTACGTAGGTGCACACAAGTCATATAGACACCTGGATGCAGGAGAAGCTGCTGCTAAAGTGGGAACTTATGGGAAGAAACTGTTATTTAGTGGAGTGTCAGGAACTGAAATCTCAACTGATCTTCTTATTGGTTTTTTTCTGTGACAATAAATCTTACTTATTTTTATTTGTTTTGTAACACAGCTCTCCATTCTAAATGCTGCTAAAATGTTGGAAAAATTTTATACCGAACGTGTCTTTCCGAAACTTATGTTACCTGAAGTGGAATTCTGGGAAGGCAAAGGATTGGAATATCGAGATTGGAGAGGTAGGTGACCTACATGACAATCGTTCTACAAGAAATCAATGTAGTTGAAAATGTCAAAGGTTAGATTAACTTTTCATTGAGTTTCAAGTTTTGCCAATATTTATGATGACTTTTGTGTTGTAGGACTTGCCGGCAAGAAATTCATAGAGATTTTCTCCAAGACCTTTTTAATCCCTTTAGAGGACACAGATAATCATTTTGAACTTGAGGTGAGTCAACATTTCATTTTCCCCCCTGCAATGAAGTTAGGCTTTGGGGTTGGGTTTGGTGGGGTGTATACTGGAATCAGGTTGTCCATTTGTCTGTCTGTATGTAGAAGGAATAATGTATGGGTAACTCAACCTTAATTACTGAATTCATTTTAAGGATACTTGCTGGCTATAATCCTTATACATTGTAGATATGTGTAATCTATATCAGGTTGAGTTACTTCCCGTTTTTGAAGGTTATGCCTCTTTGAGAATGCAATGATGTACCAGTTATTCCTCCATTACTACTTACTGGATTTCAACTAAATTTGCTGGCATTAATCCTTATACACTGCAAATGTCCATAATCTATATATCAGGTTGAGTTATCTCCCTTTTTTGTATCGCCTGCAGAGCTGGCAGACACTTAGAGATCACTTTGTCTGTCGTCACGCGTCGGTGGCGGTGTCCATACGAAAGACTTAGAAATTTAGTATATGGCCTCTCACTGGAAGGGTACAGATTAAGTTCGATTTTCGGCTGTCTGTGACCCTTCTTGGCAGGGTAATGCTCCTTTGATGTTAGAAAATTCTCTGGGAATATTGTTTTCTGGACTTTCTTTGGTTATGTTTTGAGTTATTGAAATGAAGTTTGGTATATGGCTTCTTTTTGGAAGGGTACAGATTAGTTTTGACATCCAGTTTGATATCTGCATGACCGTGACACTTTATGCAGGCGACACATACAGTTCCTCGGAACGCTTGTTAAAAGTTTATGAAAACTCCCAAGATGTACCAGCTACTAATTGGATCATAAATATTCCATGTCACCAAAATTGAATACCATTTTGTTATTCTATCATTAACTCTGTTGGCAGCAGGATGGGAGGGGTGACTGGTGGGGAGGGATTGGCTTACACAGGCATCATTGTTAGTAGCACATGCAGTATTCACAAAGAAAATCAAAAGGTTGATTCTTGATTGTATAAAAATAATGTAAGAATTCATAAATCCAACAGTTTATGTTTTCCTGCAATGCTTTGCCCCTTGACTCTTCTATTTGGTTGAGCAAGTCTGATTACTCGTGGTATGCTTATTAAAGAGTTATAGATTTAAATCAGTTTAAAAGTAAATAATTGTTTACAGGGGAATTGGAGGAGGGAGATAGATGTTACCCTTTATTACCTGCCAAATTTTACCTGTTTGATGAATTTCAAACTTCAAATTAGAGCCAAATGACATTATTGAAAATCTGTTGCAGGTTCTTCATATCAACATGGAGAGGTATATAAAGATGGTTGCTACAGGTGACTACCATGATGACCTTGACCTTGTCACAGAGATCCACACACCTTCTGGTAAGTAGGGAAATATTCTAACCACATGTAGTAATATACTACTGAATTCTTGTTTATGAAGTCTTCTTCATTAGAACCTTATGACCAAAATTTGTGATATCTGATCCACCTAAAGCTGAAATCAATTTTTACAGAAAGAAATCAAATTATAATTTCATGTCATGATCAACCCCTTATTTGTATTAGCACGGAATGAACAATATCTTAAATGAAGGTCATAACAAATAATTTTCAGGTTTGTTGTTGGTTTGTTGTATCAGGTGAAGTCAGTGTCAAGGCTCCTCAGATGGACCTTCATTTCTTTGACCCCAGTCAGGTTATCCTACAGACGACGAGATACCACACACCAAGGTATGACAATCCTGTCTGTTTGTCTCCATTTAGAAATTTCAACCACAATTTGTTTTCAATTCCATCATGTGACCTTCTTTAAAAAATTCCATTATTAGCTCACCTGGCCCAAAGGTCCGTCATCCGTCCATCTGTCCGTCCGTCCTGTGTCCGTCAGTTTTCCATTTAAACAACTTCTTCTGAAATACCGAAAGGCATAGTGTTATAATATCTGGCTGGAAGGTTCCTTTGATGGAGCCCAGCAAAGTGTGAAAGGAAATGACCTTGAACCATGTTTAAGTTCACAGAGGTCAAATGTGTTAAAACCTTTAAACAAATTCTTCCAAAATACTGGAAGGCCTAGAATCATTATATTAAACTACTTTGTTCCTATGATGAAGCTTAACAAAGTTTTCGAAAAAAATAACCTTGACCCATATTCAAGGTCACAGAGGTCAAATGTGTTTAAAAAATTTAAGCGACTTCTTCCAAAATACCTGGAGGCCTAGAGTTATTATATGTGGCTGGAAGGTTCCTTTGATGAAGCCTAACAAAGTTTGTGAATAGAAATGACCTTGACCCATATTCGAGGTCGCAGAAGTCAAATGTGTTAAAACCTTTAAACGACATCTCCCCAAATACGGGAAGGCCTAGAATCATTATATTAAGCTACTATGTTCCTTTTATGATGTCCTATAAAGTTTGCTAAAAGAAATGACCTTGACCAATCTTCGAGGTCACTGGGGTCAAATGTGTTAAAACGTTTAAACAATTTCTTATGAAATATCGAGAAGTCTAGAATCATTATATTTTGCCAGTATGTTCCTTTTATGAAGTCCAAGAAAGTTTGCAAAAAGAAATGACTTTGACCCATAGTCAAGGTCACAGGGGTTAAATGTATTAAACGAGGAACATATACACAGATATAGAACTGTTGGTCATAAAGATCCAGGTGAGCGATACAGGCCCTCTGGGCCTCTTGTTTTCTCATTATAAGAACTTCCTTTTGATCAGTTTAATAATGAAATAATGTATAACAAGGGCCTTACTTCTGCCTTAGAGTACTTGTTTTTTTTATATCAGTATGTTATTCACTTTGTATATGTTGTTCTCTTTAGCAACAGGTTGAAAAGATGCATGATATCTCTTCTGCATAATATCTCAAGTTATGTTGAGTCAATTTCATTCAAACTTTATAATAATTTTTCAAAGGAAATGCTTGCATGGGAATGATTTTCAGGTCTCAGGTCAAAGGTCAAGTTTAACTTGTTTCTACAGAATATCTTCAGTTCAGTTTGGATAATTACACTTTTCGTCTTCCTCTGTTGCTTCTCCACAGGAAGTGCTAGACCTCAATTTCTTTAATATTCTTAGGTTATAGGCCAATGCCACCATTACCATAACTATGGAGAATATACAGCAAAAAATATATATTATATCTGAATATTACTGCTAAATATTAACTTATATATATAAAAAGTTAGAACCAATGTCAGTTTAGAGTGAGTTTGTTCATAGGTGGGGCACTGCACATTGGGTGTAGATACTTAAAGGTATGCAGGGCAATGTAATAAAATATCAAAATTAAAGTTTCAATCACAACACACAATCACCTTACCTTAAGTCAAGGTCATTAGGTCAAAGGTCAAGGCCAAGTTTGAAATATTGCACTGACATATCTAAAGTCAAAGTTCAAGGTCAAATGTTGAATATTTTATTAGGAACTATCTTGTTACAAAAGAATGAAAGGTTATTGACTAAAATCAAGTGACAACAGGCCAAGGTCAACAGGACAAACATGAAGGTCATATTTGAAATTTTTCGAATGCATAGGCAAACTATTGTTTCTATAAAGCATTAAACAAAAATTCAATATCAGTCTTAACAGTCAGCTTTAAAGTCTGACAAAACATGAGGCCCTCCTGATGTATGTCTGTATTATCGAAAGTTGTTCTTCTCATGTGTATTTTATTCTTTTAGGTTAGTTGATCTTAATTTTCTTTATAATTTTTTTAAGGTCAAGGTCCAAACCATGGAAACCAATTTTGAAGGAACTTCAGTTTGACAAACTGCAGATACCATTACCAATCCCTCATCCTGTGGTAATAGCTGTGCTCATATACAACAGGTAGGTCACAATTATACTGAATCTTTTTCATACTGAATTTCACTGTAAAACTTCTTCATACTGAACTTCATCATGAAACTTTTGAAATTCATCATGAAACTTTTGAAATTCATCACCAAAATTTTGAACTGTGTCATTAAACCTCTTCAAACTTAACTCCATAATGAAACCTCTTTATACTAAACACTAGTGATGTTCTGATTAATCTACTTCATCGAGTATTGGTTAGCTACGTCCATTGACTAATTAATCAACTTAAATCTAACTTAAGCAGTTGATAAATAATATATTCCATTGCACATGGGACAAAGCTAATCCATTCTTTGTGACTTTTTAGGCAAGAAAGTATTAAGTAAAGAACACTCTGTTAAATTCTTCTTTATCTATATACTGGGTATCATTATGTTATCAATTCATCATTGTAAAAATGGAGATGTATGTCCTTCCCATCATCAATTATTAGTTGGTCTTCAATCACTTCAAATGATCCAGTGATCGATCATGATATTGCAACAGATTCTCATCACTATTCAACACCATTTTACAGTGAAACCTTTTAAATCTTCATTTTACCTTACTGGAAAACATTTGTAATATGAACTACATTTCTATACATCATAGTAAATTCTATCTGTCCTGGCTCTGTCTTTACTTTTCCCAACATGTCAAAGAATTACATTCCAATGATGATAATGTAAGAAGTGGATTTTAAAATTTAGAACAGATGAAGGATGATACACTTGTTATTATTGATATTTCAGAGACCACGACCAGAACCCTATTGTGTATGAGGACGTGTACTGCCAACGGATCCTACGCGCCACCAAAGAGGTACCTATTGTTGCTATGGGAGAGTCAGTGTCCTCGGACATGTGTGATATAGAATTGAGTACTCCTGACAATACTATAGACTCTGAACAAACCTTCTGTCACTTAGCACAACAGGAGAGAACTTTCTCTGAGGAAAACATGACATACTCATTAAATCACAGTCCAGTTCCTGAAAGACGTGTCCAAGTTGTGGTCCATAGTATGCTAGACAGACCTGAGGGGCGGGGGAGGGCAAAGGGCAAAGGTCAAGGGGCTGAGCAAGAGAAAGATGATGGACAGGCCCGAGTTGTCTATGCAGAAAAAGAAAAAGACAACAGTTGTGTTGTTAACTTTAGTGATTTTGATAATGGTGACGATGACCCAACTATGGTGTAATTTATACATGACTTGGTTGAGAATGAAACTACAACTGGGTTCAAGGGCAAAATAGTCTTTAAATACTCTCAGTATGCAAGCTCTTTGAACAAGAAACTTTTGGACCGAGATGTGTAGGAAACAGTGTACAGTATTGGTGTGACTTTTACACTAGTATTGGTTTAGTTTGACCTTTCTGTGTCCTCCAGCGACTCACCACTGAGGAGATTTGCCGGCCTCAGTGGTATGCGCTTCTCAGCGTGAAGATATATAGAGGCAAGACATGAAATTGTGCAATGACTGACAGTCTTTCATACCTGAATTTCTAGTGTTGACTGTCGTTACCTTATATCCTTGCCCATTTGATCTTAAGAAGAGAAGAAAGTTTGCAAAATTATCAAAATGGTAGGGATGTGATATCTTTTCTTTTTTATCACTACTTGTAATATCTTTGTTTAATGTTTTGCTTGAGTGCCCATATACCACAACATGACATTTATCACAAATTAATCCCGTCCCATTAGATATATAAAGTAGGACTTAGATAACAGTGCAAATTTAGGTTGTTTTTTTTTTTTTTTTTTGTCTCTTTTTTTATTTCATCCCTTCCCCCAGCCCCCCCCCACCCCCAAATTTCTTAACATACAACGTAAAGGTGTGTTGCTCTGCTGTGCTCTCAGGTTCTCCACTGCTGATTTGTTCAGAGAGAGATTGAGAGGGACTGAACAACAAAGGAGAGAGTGAGAGAAGAAAGGGAGAGATAGTGTGAGGCTCACCATACTATGCTCAATATATTATGCACACTGCCTTTTTCCCCATTGACTACATAAAAAGTCACATCTCCTAGTCTTAAAGCCGATATACATCACCTTCCTGACCAAGTATGCATGGCAAACTATTGTGGCATTACTGAATGTACCAGTCTTGTACTCGTCATTTTTGGTACTCATCCTAGTGGACTGTGCTGGACCCTGTCAAACCAGGATAAGATAATACAGGTGTACCCAGGTCTATACCCATTTCATTTTGAAATTTTATCCTTTGAAAATATTATTTCTCAAAAGACATGCTTTAGATCTGTATATTCTCTTCCTCATTAGCTTGTACTGTCTTGAATATGTTAATTTATATTTATTTCAATTATCATGCATAACAAGTGAATGCATCATATCATACCTTTATGCAAATAGTAGAAGGAAATTCCCAATATGATTTAATGTAGGAAATTTATTATTGATTATGAAACCTATCAATATTTTTTATTTGAATCTGTATATGTTTCCAACTTGATTACTTTTGGCTATATGTTATATATCTATAAACATTATATCACACTTATTTATTTGATGATTTTTACCGCTTTTCACACAAAATGTCAGGGTACAAAAACCTATTACTTAAAACATGAGGCTTAGTTTGACCTCTGACTGATTTCCCAACACTGTGTAACTAAACAATGTTTTCCTAAATTGTTGAGCCAAAGGAAAAAATTAATAATTCTACTCTCAAACAAAAGTTCTTTTTGTGGATTCAAGGGACTCTTTTAAAAATGCTTAAAAATCTTCTGAAAAGAAGCTGAACGATTTTTAATAAAAATTAGTATGTCTTGCCTCCAAAACATACATTGCCGTGGTAGTTTATGCTTATCAAATACCCACCTCTGAGTATTAGAACCAAACTCATTTCAATAAAAAGTGGTTTAATTTGTCTGTAAGTTGTTGATTTTTCAAGGTTTGAGAAGTCTGTTGTCATATCTGAAGTGGACATTAATGTAAACAGTAAATTCACAAATTAACATTTGTTATGGTCATATCTAACCAAGTCCCATAACTCTGGAGTCTTATTTTACAAGTAAAGTTTTAGGGGCAAAGAAGTAAAGGGATTAAACAGATTTTTTTTTCTTCAAATAATAAAAATGATACTTGTAGGTATATTAGATATCATAACATTTTTAAAAACGTACTTTTACCTATGTATTTATATCTAGTCTTGAATTTCAGCTTTCCTGTTTCTACTCCATTTTACCTTTTTGTAGTCATGCCAGTATTACTTGTTCTGCTCATTTTGGTTCATGCTAAATGTACATGTGTATACAATTGGTTTGTTTTGTTGTATAAAATGCATGTTTTTATGATTATGTTTATCAATCAAGTTTTTTTTTTTTTTTTTTTATTTGCCTTCAGAAATATCAATCTATTTTAATACTCGTGTTATGAGTTGTTTGTTGTTTAATATTTTGCATTTTTTTGGTATATTTTGCTTGTTCCTATGTGACTGGTGAAAAACTCTCAATTGGTTCTATCTTCACATCATGCATGCTTAAAATACATCATAGAAAAAACTTTCAAGATTGCTCTCAAAAGACCGATCAATTTCTGTAAAGTTTAGAATATATGCGAAAATCTTTACGAGGGGATAATGATTTTGCAGAACTGAAAATGATTCAAAAGATGCTACAAATTTTGAGATATTCCTCACACACAAAGAAATAATAATAAAACAAAAAAATCATTAGGTGCCATTGTTGGGACATGTATTAAAACAATGGGTACATGAGAATTGTTTTGTGAATGATAATGTAGGCTTCTTACACATGCTTCAGCTTGTTTTCACATTAATTTGAAACAATGTCTAGGAGACAACTATAAGAATATATGATGTCTGAATTAGCTAACTAAAACTGCTAATACATCAGGAAGAAATCTGCATTATGTGCTGGATCTTTATTCTATCCAGATTCATGCATCGTAGTTGTACTAAATAAACACGAATTGGTTATGAGTACAATGTACAATGGGTTTCTCAATGTATCTCAATGTGTCTCATCTTCTTGAATCAAACCACCAGAATATAATACATATAGACTATCTCTTTGTCTGTTAACAGGGGTATACAATAGACTATCTGTCTGTTAACAGGGGTATACAATAGACTATCTGTCTGTTAACAGGGGTATACAATAGACTATCTGTCTGTCTGTTAACAGGGGTATACAATAGACTATCTGTCTGCTAACAGGGGTATACAATAGACTATCTGTCTGTTAACAGGGGTATACAATAGACTATCTGTCTGTTAACAGGGGTATACAATAGACTATCTGTCTGTCTGTTAACAGGGGTATACAATAGACTATCTGTCTGCTAACAGGGGTATACAATAGACTATCTGTCTGTTAACAGGGGTATACAATAGACTATCTGTCTGTTAACAGGGGTATACAATAGACTATCTGTCTGTTAACAGGGGTATACAATAGACTATCTGTCTGTCTGTTAACAGGGGTATACAATAGACTATCTGTCTGTCTGTTAACAGGGGTATACAATAGACTATCTGTCTGTTAACAGGGGTATACAATAGACTATCTGTCTGTTAACAGGGGTATACAATAGACTATCTGTCTGTCTGTTAACAGGGGTATACAATAGACTATCTGTCTGCTAACAGGGGTATACAATAGACTATCTGTCTGTCTGTTAACAGGGGTATACAATAGACTATCTGTCTGTCTGTTAACAGGGGTATACAATAGACTATCTGTCTGCTAACAGGGGTATACAATAGACTATCTGTCTGTTAACAGGGGTATACAATAGACTATCTGTCTGTCTGTTAACAGGGGTATACAATAGACTATCTGTCTGTTAACAGGGGTATACAATAGACTATCTGTCTGTTAACAGGGGTATACAATAGACTATCTGTCTGTCTGTTAACAGGGGTATACAATAGACTATCTGTCTGTTAACAGGAGTATACAATAGACTATCTGTCTGTCTGTTAACAGGGGTATACAATAGACTATCTGTCTGTTAACATGGGTATACAATAGACTATCTGTCTGTTAACAGGGGTATACAATAGACTATCTGTCTGTTAACAGGGATATACAATAGACTATCTGTCTGTTAACAGGGGTATACAATAGACTATCTGTCTGTTAACAGGGGTATACAATAGACTATCTGTCTGTTAACAGGGGTATACAATAGACTATCTGTCTGTTAACAGGGGTATACAATAGACTATCTGTCTGTCTGTTAACAGGGGTATACAATAGACTATCTGTCTGTCTGTTAACAGGGGTATACAATAGACTATCTGTCTGTCTGTTAACAGGGGTATACAATAGACTATCTGTCTGTCTGTTAACAGGGGTATACAATAGACTATCTGTCTGTTAACAGGAGTATACAATAGACTATCTGTCTGTTAACAGGGGTATACAATAGACTATCTGTCTGTTAACAGGGGTATACAATAGACTATCTGTCTGTTAACAGGAGTATACAATAGACTATCTGTCTGTTAACAGGGGTATACAGATGAAATAACTTGGCACCCAGAGCTAGCTGCAAAGTTTGTGAATTTTTTTCTTACCACAGTTTTATGAAAATTGTGAGCAGGTAGTTTTTTTTTTTTTTTTTTCAAAATCTGAATGGAAGCTTCTTGTGCATTATATTGCACACCAATGACTAACGAATAAATAATTGGCTAGAGATAGATATAATACTGTTACATGCATGTGTTTTTCATGTCATCTTGTGAAATGCTAGCTGGTAATTTGCTTCTTTTTTTTAACATGTATAAGACAATGATATGCATGTTTAGCTTCTTGATTATGTTTTGTTACTTGCATGTTTACATGTAGTCAGTTTGTATTAGTTTTTTTTTTTTTTACAAACTATGCAATTTTCAGGTGAAGGTCCTACCAGAGTGAGGCTCCCGATGGGTATCTTTTACAATTCTGCACATTACAGTAACATTGGTCTCCTCAAGCTCAACTTGGTATTGTGTCGTAATTCTCTCTGTCCTGCTGCACTTTCTAATTCAGAGTGTATTTCATATTAACCAAGAGTGACTATGTTATTGTTAGGTAAAACCTTGTTATGCTGTTATCTTTTGTCTGACAGAATATTGACTGCACACTCATCACTTTGGCAATTTTATTTGTATGACTTAATTGGCAAGAAAAAAGTACATAAGATGGATTGGCACTATAAAGTGTGTTTGGAATGGCAATATATAGAGGTTTTGCTGTAATAGTGGTATTGATGTAATATAGGTTAGAAGTAATTATTGCTGGTGAAAAGAAATTTCCATGAAATCTTGATATTAAACATGTATTTTCTAGTTCTTTTAAAGAAATGAATTTCTGAAATCATTTCTTGCTATGTATTTTTAAAAATTTCAAAATCATCAAGTCAGATCACAGAGAAAACAATTACCAGGAATATATCTAGAATTTTCATACCACCAAAAGTAAAGGATAATATTGGACAAAGACATTTTCAAGTGATGTAGTTCCCGTAACTAAAATATTAAACTTTTATCTGAAAATTGCTCAAAATTTATTTTATTGGAAATAGACTATAAAATATGTTGATTATTTCAATGAAAAAAGAAGCGTCTCATAAAGATGGACTTCGTTAGAAGTTACCTTGACAAAGGTGTCACAAGATCATCTTATTTGAATTATTGCTGAAGTTTTTTTAATTATTGCCAGAGTTATTTCCCCTTGTTTCATTTATCTCTGTTCTGTTATTGCAACTTTTTCTATAAAGAAGGTTTCTTAACTTTCCAGGAATATATACTTGCATGTGATTTCTCCTGTTTCATTATCCAGTGCTTGTGTTACTGATACTATTTAATGTGAGATCTTTATCATCTGATATTCATGGTCATTTTTGTGATATTTACAACAACCTGTCTTTTGTACCGTATGTCATTGTATTAGTGCAGGAAAGTAAAAACTAAAATTTTCATTTTTGTTTAACAAACATTTAAGGGGCTTTCCATAGGGTCACAATTAAGCTTTCATTTTTCTCTTTCATTTTATTGATCAATATGAAAGTTTTGTCTTTATTTTTCTTCTGTGTTATTAACTTGAAAACATACATTATTTGAGTGACAGAAATGAATAAAACATTTCTTATGTTGTCATTTTTTAATTTATCAAAGATGATCAATGTAGTTTTAAAAACATCAAAATACTGCTGATTATAATAGGGCCGTATTATTGATTTAGGGTTATATGCTTACTTTTGATGTTTTTTGGCTTTAGTTCACTATTTTTCTTCCTTTCAAAATTTTTTGATGAACAACAATCATTAAAAAAGTAACAGTTTTATGAACAACTTATTAGCAAACTAATGGTGTGTTTTATGAATTATGATATGAACACTGGAAATGGCTAGTTAGTTGTTAGAACCAGAACTTAGCTATGACAAAGACAATTATTGTTGCATGTTGATTAAACTATCAGTTGTTTCTGTTTGACTCTTTGTTTTGAGTTACCAATGCATGTTTAGTTGTGGTAAAATGGACTTTCACTTTAAAAAAGTTACTCTTTGTAAACACCACACATATATATTTAGTGTTGTCCAGGTGGCTGTTTCTTTGAATATGCTTTTTTCAGGCAAACTGCATTTCAAAATCCTGTCTTTCTCACTGCAAACATTCAGGGTGCAGTTGTAGTTACATATGTACACAAACTGCACTTGCATAATATATTTATATATCTTGTTTCGGTTGTACTTATGTGCCTACTGTAGTTGCACGCCTTTCCTTCCTTCACATCTCATGATGGAGGGGACATAACTTTCATTTCTAGCATCTTTCTTACAAGGGGACAGAACTCTGTGACACTTGGAATGAGTTAAACAAGTTATGGCAGTTGATACATCTTCTATGCAATTAATTCAAACAAAGATGCATGGAATTTTCCTGGATTGGAAAAGAAAAATTAAGGATGAATATAACAATTTTAAAAACAATTAAGAATTTTAGGAAAGGTCTAATGCTATATGCATCTTTGACTTGTTATATGAATAGGAATTCTATATTTTCAATTTAAATTAATTAATTTATCATTTCTTGATTACGTAAATAATTAATGTTGCCATGTCCAATTTTTTCTTTTATCGGTAATGTTTTGATTATTTTGTGCCTTGCTAAGATTTTTTTTTTAGGATGACTTTCTTCCTATTGAATGGTTGTGATCTCGGCTTTTCCACAATGAATTTAGCAATGTGGTTGTATAGTACAAAATCTATTTTAACAAAGTTATATGTAAAACAGGCAAATATAGTTTTATACAAGGGACTGATATTTAATTATACAAGATAAGAAAAACATGCAGACAATTTCTGTAAAATGATTTGTTTTATTTTAGCATTATTGTTTGATAGTATTGATGTTTTGTACACTAAATGCTTGCATATATCAAGGTCTCTTCCTCAAGGTTAACAGAGAACTCCTGTACAAAAATTCAATGTGTTCTTTTACGAATTTTCTTAACAGTGAATATTTAGGGTCGAGTGTTGATGATTATAATAAGATAATACACTTGTTATTCCTGTCATGTTTTCCATATGTATTCCTCATTAAACCCATGATGCCAGCACCTTAAATTCTCGCAGTGGGGAGAGAGATTGGCTGTAACAGAGAAAATACTAAAGCTTGTAATGGCTTTTTATCATACCTGTCATAAAGTGCAGTAGATGTACATGGGCTTATTGACAAATAGATAGGGGAATAAGATACTTTTTTTAACAAGTACCTGATGAAACTGAATATATGCACATATTTACTCTCTATTTCTCTTTGTTTCTTTTTGTTTAAGATTCATTGCTGCTTTACCTGTGTAGATATTCTTTAATCTTCTATAAATGTCCTGGATACTTTACATCTCTAAGATCAGTAACAAAAGTAACCTCTCACTGATGCTTTATTTTATAAAGGTACACATTTCGTGAAATGTACATGCAAATACAGGAGTGAAATCTGATATCATTTCAATTGATGCTTATTTAAAAATTCAATACCGGAATGTAATTAAAGATAGATTTTACTAGAGAATTTAATGTTTTGTACAAATAAGTATCAATTATACTGCCACAAAAAAAAATTAAGCCAATTGAAATCAAATTGTATTGACATTAATTGTAACCTTTGTTTATGACATCATGATTTTTTTTTTCCTTCAGAAATAAAAATTCAGATCCCCTCAATGAGATCTTCATGAAAAATTTAATTTACATTAAACCAGCTGTAAAATATTTCTATGTTATCTATATCTTGACATTTCCTGTAATTTTGACTGAGCAATATTAACATAAAAATAGATGTATATTTTCAGCCTTATTAACCTATTTTAATTAAGAAACTGACAAGCATAATATTTCTATAGTTTTGTGATTTGATAATGATAATGATCTTCATGTACGTTTTAGCCAACTATTATCAGATGGTATGTGTTCCAAATTGCACTTAGATCATCTTGTGGATAGCTTACACCACAACAACTATTTCTTCAGAAGTCTGATGAGATCCTCAATCTTTAAATGTAATGGATGTTTTTCATGAATAATTGAAGTGATCATATGGAATCTATTACTGTTTGAATTACTAACTGTTGGCGTGATCGTACATACAACTGATTGTTAAGGAGAAAGAACAAAAAAAAGGTCAAACTTATGTAGACCCCATGAGTTTACAATGGGGGAGGCCATGAGTTTACAATGGGGATGTCATGAGTTTACAATGGGGGACGCCATGAGTTTACAATGGGGGACGCCATGAGTTTACAATGGGGTACGCCATGAATTTACAATGGCGGACGCCATGAGTTTACAATGGCGGACGCCATGATCATTTCGAGATCTTCTGTTTCTGCTGACATTTTATTTGTGAATGAAAAAATATATTTATCAGTTAAATATCTTTTCTTGTCTATATATATTACTGTGAAAACTGGCTAATATGACACAATGATGGAAACTATCATATCTTGGTCAAATTGGACAGGAGGTTAGAGAGCTAAGATTCAATGTTTTTTTTAACTATTTTGATGAAAAATGGTATCACAGTACCTGAGTATTTTGTAGGATTAAACAGGAAGACAGAATATACAGGTCATACTGGGTAATGTTCAAGATATTTAGGGTTACAGTATTCTTTTGGATCCGATTCAGAGATATGGGGTTACAATATTCTGTTTGGATCAGGAGTCAAATTAGACAAGGTTCACAGTAATCTTCATTATCTGTCCAGTCTATATGTGATGGTGCTATATAATCATACAGGCCATTTAGTTTCTGACTTGTTTCCCAGATTACATGATGTCATTAATCATGCACTAGTGATATATATATATATATGTATTGATGTATTATGTTTAGAAGTTTTTTCCATGCTATATATATAATAAATATATTATTGGATGTGTATATTTATGTAAAACTCTCTTATGACACCTGTTTTGACCTTTGACCTCACCAGGTTATTTGCATTTTGTTAGCGAATCTCTAGTAAATGAACTGAAGGATTTTAATCTTATAAATATTGAACGATACTTCATGGATTTTACATGATTGTCTGTCTCAGCAAATTTGAACACACTTGTTCTAGAAAATGCAAGTAACATGATAGACATCAAAGATTTAGATAAATGGTTTTCTTTCAAGAAATAATTTCAAATTATTTTTCACATCCTGAAAATTGTTAGTAATAATCACCTGTATTGTATAAGTAAATTACTAGTTTTAGGATAAAAATCAATTGAAAGAAGACCCAAGTCTTTTTTGTGTATATTATTTCAAAGCTTAATACAGATTTACAAAAGAACAATTTGCAATTACATGAAGCTTGAAAGTGCAGTTTTTGTTTGAATTTTCATTGCAATATTGCCTGTTTGTATGTCATAAGGCTACACAGACATAGAAGACCTTCTGTATGTCATAAGGCTACACAGACATAGAAGGCTTTCTGTATGTCATAAGGCTACACAGACATAGAAGACCTTCTGTATGTCATAAGGCTACACAGACATAGAAGGCTTTCTGTATGTCATAAGGCTACACAGACATAGAAGACCTTCTGTATGTCATAAGGCTAAACAGACATAGAAGACCTGTATGTCATAAGGCTACACAGACATAGAAGGCTTTCTGTATGTCATAAGGCTACACAGACATAGAAGACCTTCTGTATGTCATAAGGCTACACAAACATAGAAGACCTGTATGTCATAAGGCTACACAGACATAGAAGACCTTCTGTATGTCATAAGGCTACACAGACATAGATGACCTTCTGTATGTCATAAGGCTACACAAACATAGAAGACCTGTATGTCATAAGGCTACACAGACATAGATGACCTTCTGTATGTCATAAGGCTACACAAACATAGAAGACCTGTATGTCATAAGGCTACACAGACATAGATGACCTTCTGTATGTCATAAGGCTACACAGATATAGAAGACCTTTGGTATGCTTTAAGGCTACCTGACATAGAAGACTTATGCTTCTTCAGGCAATAAAAATCTCATGGGAAAGACTTGGAACCAGACCTCAAAGAGTTTTTTTTAAACCAAGAGACTTAAGGAATAGATAGAAGGGCCAGGGATAAGTTTATAAATATCTGATAAAAGACAAAAAGGGATGATGAAATTTGTTGTGAGGATGGGGAAACAAAAAATGATAGAATTAAATGCTTGAATTTAAAAAATATTGGATGCTATAGCTAATTACAGTAAAACCCAGGGGAGAAACAGAATGAATAAAATCAAAGGGAAAGATATTGAAAGACTTGTAAAAAGACAAAGATGATGAAATTCAAAATTGTTGATAGAAGACAAAAAGATGTGTATGGAATCGACATGAGAACAAGTCATTACAATTGATGTTAGAAAGTCATTAGATGGATGTTGAAATTCCAAGAAAAGTTCAAATAAATGATGAAAGGACAAGTACTTGAACTTACTAATAAGTGGAATAGGGTTTCCCATTGTAAAGATGAAGGTCATTTTGACTGTGTTATCCTTGGCTGAATTTGTACTTTTAACATGTAACTGAGAATATATGATGATTTTTAAGTTAACATCCTGAGATTAACCAAACATACATATATATATACTGTTTAGTAAAATTAATATGTATAGAATGATGACGATGAGTAAAATATCACATAAAAATAAAAATAGAAATATATTGTTTGGTGTTGTGTTAGTAATTTATGATGGTGATTGGTCTATAATCCAGCAACACAGATAAGGTCTTTAGGGCCATTAAAAGATTGATGAAATGTTGTTTTGGAGAAGAATGTGACCTAACAAACAGATATAATAAGAGAGAAAGCTACCAGAAGGCTTGACAGTCAAAAGATGGAGATTGTCAATCTCAAGACTTGTTAGAGAGAATAATATGTGAAACTGTATGTATGAGATGTGGGATCAGGTGATTACAACAGATGTTACAAATGAGAAGGGTACTGATATTCCTTCAAGTAAGATCAGTGGAAAGAGGTACAGTCTACCCTGCTGGATGGAAATAAGCAGAGTTTTGGACAGGAAAAGATATCTCGGTTTTATTTTTGGTGGATTACTCGAACCTGCATGTAAATGGGAGTTATATAAGTGTACATCAAAAACTCAAAAAACTCTGCTCTGGCAGCTGAGCCCCATTAAATACAGTATAAAAGTGTGGAGACACATTGAGATAAAATAATGAATAAAATCTTACTGATTGGTTCAGCTACACAAAGAAAAAATCCTAAAATACAGTTACTGCTAACAAACTGACAACTTTCTGACTTTTTACCTGAAGAGCACATTTTCAGTTTAAACTTCATTGTGTTTCTATCCAGATAGTTTTAGGATTGTAGAACACAGAAACAAAGCAACATAATATAAGCAGTATGTCATTTCTTGAGAGTTTTAAACCCTGGAAGCCATATGTAGATCATGTCCACATGTGATGGAGCAAGTCTGAACGTTATAATATAGACTTGACACAGTAGTGTGACATTTCTTCAAGTATTATTCATAAGTCAGTTAGATGCATTGGAAGATGCTTAAAAAAACAACTTTGTATCAGAGATAAAAGACTACACTCTTGGTTTTGCCATGTCTACATTTTGATGTCTACATTTCGATGCAGACAAAAGAAAAAGATAGTTTGATACCAGCCACTTTCCGTAAACTAGTTGCATGTGGTGTTTTAAGGAAGTAATCACCAGATCAATGTTGTTGATATACTACTAACTAGTCATTGTCAATCACTTTTCTGTGTCTTATGTTCACTAAAACAGAATAATGACCAGTAATGCTGATCTAAAACTAAGTCATAAACACACCTAAAATTAAAAAATTGTAGTATAAAACTGTAATTTAAAGAATTTGTCTCTGTTTACCCACCCAATGTAATTCTTGACCAATAGTTTATGCTTACTACAAAAATAATATTCCTTAAATAAAGTATATCATTTAACACAATATACTCTTAAATCTTCTCTTAAGTTTTCTTAAATAACAGTCACCAATCATTTGTCATTTCATTCTTTCATCTTATTGTTATACCATCGTGTTCTGTCCTTTGTCTTTACAAGTTCATTCCTGGAGGCAGAATGTGTTTACGTGAAAGTGAGGACGGCTCTTCGGTATGTGTGGTCTATGACCAACCATAGGACTTGGACTGGCCAAACCCTCACCACATAAGTCCATTTTAGAGATGTGAGACTTAGAAAGTCTCGTATGATGAGTTAATCAGTGATACCAAAATTAATTTTAATTGAACATTGCCTGCCTTTGGAAAGATGTCATAGATAATATTGTTGATAGATAGCGTGTTGAGGGTTGTAAACACAAATGACAAGGTGATTTTTGAGTGTAAGGGCCTCAATGCCACATATAAAGAAGTTCTTTTTTCTTGACCATTCAGAGAGTCCTCTACAGCATGTATAAAGTCATCATCTAAGCAAAAGTCGGTACCAGTAGTGGCCTTTTTCGATTTTCGAAATAGATGAAAGTCTGATGAAGCCAGATTGTTATCATTATGATAGCCATGACAATGACAGACTTGTGAACAGGGGCATTATCCTGGTGGAACAACACACCTTTACTGAGTTTGCTACGGCATTGAGTTCAATATTTTATCTTAACTGGCTAATAAGTGATGCATAATATGTGACATTGATTGTTTGTCCTACCATCAGAATACTATAAGCAACCTAGAAAACCGAGGCCATAACCTTTCCAGCTGATAAACCACCTTTTACCTTCTTAAGAAGGATTGAACCAGGGTGCTGCCATAGTTTCAACTGTTGGGTAAATTGATGGACTCACATTTCATCCATAATCACAAACCTCTGCTGACAGGTAGCAGGATCTGCACCTAACAGGTTCAGATTAGAAATCAACAAAGTCCGCCTGGTGTGCTTCTGCTCAGCTGTCAGAAGTCTGGGTACCCAACAGGCTGAGTGCTTTCTCATTTCAAGATCTTCCGTAAGAATGGCATGAATTCTTTCCTGTGAAATCCAAAATGTACTGGCTATATATCCCTCTGTCACTTGCCTGTCAGCCATAACACTATCATGGACTTTATTGACTATTTCAAGGGTTGCAACAGTGACCGGCGTCATCCTCAATACTCTGCCTGCCATGCTTAAATCCCGTCACACACACTTTCGCTGTAGAATATGAAGGGACATCATTCCCTAGTTTTGCTACCATATCAGTATGCTAGACCTTTCAAATATTGATATATCACTGCACTGCTCTTTCAGCGATTTTGTCCATTTTACAAAAGTCACTTGTTTACTTTAGAGTGCTACCTCTTTGACATTAATTGACCAAATGGCACCAGTCTTCGGGTACACAACCTTAAATAGTCGGGGAATAGTAGAGCAGAAAAAGGACATCTCTGTTTAACTTCTTCAATACAAGGGTCACAACCTATCTGTCAGCTCTCGTAGTATTTGCTGCAATTCCTGTCCCTCATGTGGCCATTGTCCAGGTGTTTTGATTGGGCAAGTAATTGAAGTAACGAGTTGAATATTTGGATGTTCCGGAAAATGTTCGTTTACCACCTCTCTCTCATCCCGTCAACCTTCATGTCAGAGTCTGTGGAGGTACTATGGAGCGTTTCCCAGGGCCAAAGCATTCTACCATAATTCCATAATTTTTTATTCGTTTTAAATTGCAGCTTTCCCTCTTTGCAAGGTCATTCTGGTTTTTCAATACTTACCCGAGCCATGGCAATCTTTGTGCTTTACTAACAAGGTTTATTTTTACGAAAGAAAAAATCATTTTTAGTTAAAAAATGCATAATGAAGGTTATATACATAAAATGTTTAGCCAAGTGTATATAATACGTTGTCGGTCGTTTGGCTTCTTAGTTTGTCCACTCACCTCTTACCAAAAGGGCATACGTGTGTAAGAGGTGAAAAAGTATTCACGTAGGGGACGATTGGAATCAAAATAAGGTGGGAAAACCTGCAAGATACTCCAGCTCCAAAAAATCATCACTTTCGATATTGGATGACTTTGAAAGATCGTCAGGTATATGGGATGGAATGTAGATGAAGGTAGGCTCTCGCGAACACAAGTCCGCCAGCAGTGTCTACCACCTGCAATCACACGGACACGGGCTCTCCAGCAGTGTCTACTACCTGCAATCACACAGACACAGGTCCAGCAGCAGTGCCTACCACCTGCAAGCACACAGACACAGGTCCACCAGCACTGGCTACCACCTACAATCACACGGACACAGGTCCACCAGCACTGGCTACCACCTACAATCACACGGATACAGGTCCACCAGCACTGTCTACCACCTGCAAGCACACGGACACAGGTCCACCAGCACTGTTACCACCTACAATCACACGGATACAGGTCCACCAGCAGTGTCTACCACCTGCAATCACACGGACACAGGTCCGCCAGCAGTGTCTACCACCTGCAATCACACAGACACAGGTCCACCAGGAGTGTCTATCACCTGCAATCACACGGACACAGGTCCACCAACAGTGTCTACCACCTGCAATCACACATACACAGGTCCACCAACAATGTCTACCACCTGCAATCACACGGACACGGGTCCACCAGCAGTGTCTATCACCTGCAACCACACGGACACGAGTCCACCAGCAGTGTCTACTACCTGCAATCACACCGATACAAGTCCACCAGCAATGCCTACCACCTGCAATCACACATACACAGGTCCACCAACAGTGTCTACCACTTGCAATCACACGGACACGGGTCCACCAGCAGTGTCTACTACCTGCAATCACACGGATACAAGTCCACCAACAGTGTCTACTACCTGCAATCACACGGAAAGAGGTCCACCAGCAGTGCCTACCACCTGCAATCACACAGACACAGGTCCACCAGCACTGTCTACCACCTACAAACACACGGACACATGTCAGCCAGCAATGTCTACCATCTGCAATCACACATACACAGGTCCACCAACAGTGTCTACCACCTGCAATCACACGGACACGGGTCCATCAGCAGTGTCTACTACCTGCAATCATACGGATACAAGTCCACCAGCAGTGTCTACCACCTGCAGTCACACGGACACAGGTCCGCCAGGAGTGTCTACCACGTGCAATCACAAATATTGTATAAAAAATACACAAGTGAACAGCAACATTCAGTACAAAGAGGTATGACGTTTCACCGTGGCGGAACACCTTTTTCAGTTCATCGCCTTGGTCGATCTTAAAACACATGATTAATACCGACAGGTAAACATGCATTCGAAGTCACCATGCCTAAATATAGAACATGCACGTCCGGAAAGTGGTGCGTTTAATGTGTATGTTGCGGGCGATATTTCGATTAAAAGTTGAGAAATGTACAAGAATAGGCAAAACAAAAGATTAATTCATTGGCTGGATTACTCCTTAGTATGTGACCTTTTATAATTCTGAAAATACATTGAACATTGAGATGACATTCTATCATGTCTCAAACACTTCCAATTATGACTCTGTGCCACTAGTATTATCATTGAATTCATGAGATCGAACGTGCAACCCCAGCGTCTTACCGTCTGTGCTGTAGGCATTGATGAAGAAGTCAGCAGCATTGCAATCATGAATTCAATGTTAAAAGCATAAGCACTGAACAATTTTGGTCCAATCTGATTTATCAATTTTTCGGAATCAGCGCATACTTGTACCAATTTTCGAAAATTTTAGTTAATTTTGATCATACTGGATAAGGTTCAGTTGCCTAAAAGTTGGTACATGTGTGCACTGACTCCATGTACAAGTGGGGTTGTCTCTTTGTAAAAATAAGACATGGCATATATCCAAGATGTTTTTTTTTTTTTTTTAATAATCGGTATATCTTTTCTAATGATTGGTATTTGAAACTTGCTCACTGAGATTACCTATCTGAATTCATCGAAATAGAGAGTTATTTTTCCATTTCATAGTTGACCAAATTTATCTGGAATCAGGCGGTACCACGCCATACCTGTTTAGAATGAGCTGCAGAATAGCCTAATAACAAAGTAAACTGTTGTCTCGTCCTTCTAGGATAAAAAAAGAAAATTAAGATTTAGTTTGCTATTTCTGCCACTGGAAAGATAAAAAAGTATATAATGTAAACAATTGTTAGCAGAACCGAGTTTTAGATCAGATGTTTATTTATCTTAGATAAGAGTTCATAAACCGACTAGCCTACAAACAAAATGGACATCATATCAAATATGAGAAAGGAAAATTCAAAGCAAAGATATAAGCAGTTTATGTGGATTGAACAAAAAATCATACTTTGTTCGATATTAAATTTTATATAATGATCAAAATATGTACGGTATCCCACTGAAAAACAACCCAAAATATAGGTTAATATTTTTCACTGTGTGAAACCTTCGAAGATTAAGTGCACCACAAAGTCACCATTGTTTGCATTGTAGATAATTGGTGATATATTTAAATATAGGCCATACACCTGTGAACTTGGTGTTGGAATACATCACAATCACGTTATACAATGCTAAACTAAACACAATCAAACTATGGTAGACTTGGTCAACATCAAACTCTTGCGTGGCTTAGATATTCGGTTACAAATTAATGTGTCACTATATCTTAAAGATATTTTCCCTTCTTTCATTATTTGTTAATCGTGTGTGATATGCTATTCACAACTGAACAAACACATAATGGTTCATTGATCTCCAAAAAGTTAATCTTAGTATGACCTATTTGAAGGCAATTTCGGCAAAATCGACGTTTTTAGCTATCCTTGCGACGTGCTAGATATTTTTCTTAACCTTGGTCCTCTTTGAAAACCGTATTAACTTTTGATACTTGGAATGCCTTTTATTATCAGTCTAACAAACACTCGAATATTCGTGGCTTTAGTAGTAAACGTCTTAAAATGCGTTCACAGGGACCTAGGACCTTTAGGTTCCAGTGTTCTATGAACTTGCTACCTATTATACTTCTCCAAAGCTTTGCAATTGTCTGTAAGAATGTATTTTGTGCTTATTAAACCATTGCTCATAAGGAAACTCATATTAGCTTTCGTGTACTTTGGAAAGGGTTATCCATTTATTAACATTTCATTTCTTATGAGATCACACTAATAAAAAAACTTTAAATAGTAGCTGACGATCAAATATGCTACATATTCCGAGTCAGAAGGCGCCATCGCTGAAGTAGGAAACCCTTACTCTTTTGGTCTTATTCTTATACTTTTTTCAGAAGTCTTCTTGGAAATCTTTCATATATTACCTTAGTTTGATTGGATCTGGATTATAATTATGTTGACATGTTAGCATTTTGTTGTCTATTTTTCCCTATTATGAAATATTGTCTTAGAGATCTGCATAATAGTTACAGTTAGAGAGAGCTTCATCTACATCCAGTAAAAATTTTATTAAATGTATATGGTACTTCGGTATCTATAATGCGGGCAAGACCGTCATTCAAACGATTAGTGAAACTAAGGTAGCAACATCAGACCAATGAACAGTAGAGAGTGTGTAGATATTTCAGACAAAGGCGTGTGAGTTCCTGTATTTGGTAAATAACCAGTACCCTTAGTACACATAGTTATCTTAATATAACACCTACAGTTATTGCATGTCGTGCTTAATGAAAATTTGCATTACTGAATTCAACCCCTTTTATCATTGTCCAAGAAAGTAGTCAATTAATATTTATCATCATAGTATGTTTAAAAAGCGTTTTAGGATACAAGTGATGCTAAAATATCCCTTGTCTACAGTAAAGGACATATATATTGTCTCAGATTTGCTGAAGACATTTGATACTTCATCTCACATCAATAATTGTCATGTTGGAATGATAACTTTACTTAGAAGTCAACTTTGTTGACTATTTAAAACCATTTCAAAAATAGATATATATTGTACACACCGGTGATTTCGGAGAGAAAAAAAAATCTGGAAAATAGATTCCTAGCATTATGAAGACTGATAGCGTGTAGTTATAGAAATGAGGTCATTTTTTATGTAAAATAGACCGTAAGAATCTACATGAAAATAATTCCTGTGAATATGACACAATATAATATACATGTAATAATAGGTAGAGAAAATTTAGTATTAATTAAAGTTATATATAATTTTAACGTAAGTAATGATATAAAATTTTGTAAGTCAATGGAGTCAGTTTTTAAATTCGTGCATGGTTAAGTTGTCTGGTGTCTATCCATTAATATGCCTTGTTTGGGTGACCCTAATATGAAACACATTGATACATTTCCGCCAGCATCCATGTAACTTTTTGGAATAGCGAGAGGCACAGTCCTATAACAAGGGAGAGGTGGACCTAATAAATGATTATGTAATTAATATCAATTTAATTCAGTTGTTCAATAATTTACTAACATCCTTATTATACATACTAAAATTTAAACTGTAGACATTGGCAAGTGTGCCCTTTTTGCCTTCATTTAAAATAATACACGTGTAGGTACAATGAGAAACAACACTAGGGCGTACTCATATGTGGAATTACATATGTTTACGTGTTGCTCAACAAAGACCAGTGTAGTTATGATTTCAGTCCCCATTAAACTATTATTGATAACAAAGTTGGATATTGACTTGTAAAATAAAGAAATATTGGCATATTGAGTGTTAATACATTCTTATGCTGTGACCAGTTGATTTTTCTAATGTTCAAAATTATTCGGTATATATTTTCATTATAGAATTATGCTGTTTCTAAAGTTATTAACAAACTATATATACACCTCATAATGATCAAATACTTACGTAATATGCTGTAAGTTACCCCGTTTAGTAATTTAAAACTAGAGACACTTTCTCTAATCAATAATTTTGCACCATTAACGTTCAAGTAGTTGAAAAACAATTATCCTGTGTTTTTTCATTTTTTTTTCAAATTTCCCCTTTCAATAAAACACCTATTGAAGCTATTTTGAAAGTTAATCATTTTATATTTTGTTGATAGCCTAGATTGTTTTGTAAATTTTAAAAGTAGCCATTTTGACTCCTTTAACTGTCTGTATGCCAATATACTAATACAAATTTGATGGAAAATAATGAATGTTTTAGGAAGGAAACAAAATATGAATTCATAAAAAAGATGGTACAAAGAGTGTCATGGATGTATGCTTTGCTGTGATATTTGGTCAGTTAGCTTAACATGTGAGTCCTAAGGGGATTTTAAACTAAAAGGTGAACATTCAAATGTATATGTTGTGTTGATATTTATAGAACAACTAACATACAAAATTTGAAAGGAATCCGGGTGTGGCTGATCTCTATGGGAGCATCACTTTATAATTATGAAATGGGGGGAGAAGGGGACACACTTCGCACGTTTACACGTTTAGTATCGAGTTTGATCGGTTCTACACTGTATACTCGTTTTCTACCCGTTATTTTTCCAACTCTCAATGCCCTTTTTGAGACGATATTGAAATTTTCATTCATAAAGTCATAGCAATGAAGAAATTCAGTCGACAATAGATAGTTTATTGTTAAGTGATTTTCAAAACTTGTTTGACAGATGTCGTACAACATTCTAAGTTCTGGAATAATACACATAGTAATATAACCTTGATGATCAAGAATCCCATGAAATGGTTGCCGCCACAATCCGGTCGTGTTCATTTACAAAGCAATGGCAAAGATGTTGCAGACTATGACATGGAACTTTTTCTCACTTTGAAGTTCTGGACATGGCGGCCTTGAACTGGACACATTTTGTCTATACTTTGTTCATTATGGATCTCCATATTATGACCTGGAATGGAAACACTATAAAAGGTTATCTCAAACGCGTCCTTGTCAGTTCGTCTAAGAAGCAGAAAGGACTCAAAATGCACCTAGTAGCTCTGTGCGTTGTTCTCTTCGGCTCTGTGGCAGCATTGCCTGTCGATCAGGTTCGACATTTTTTTGTTAATGGTTATTTTGAAAGCTAGAATTATCTTCATTGTTTTATGCATTGTTCCAAATACTTTGAATTTTATTGTAACGATAACATTTAAGTTCCTGGTTCATCAGGTGTCTCTTAATACTATTTAGAGAAAATCTTCGGTAAAGTCCAAATTTATAGATTCATTTGTTAAAAGGAAAACCTTTTCATTTTGTTTTGTTTATCATACATCAATTTGAATATGTTTGAGTACAAGCGATAATAAAAAACCACGACATTTTTTTCGATGGCAGGCTGATACATGATTCTTATATTTGTAGGTTGATACGTTTAGTAAGTAAAATTTGTATTACATAAAACAGCTGTATATTGTATATATACATATTAACGTTTATGTAAATTGATATTTTGATAAAACCCAATTTGGATATGTTAGCGACATCTTATATATTCATTAATGCTGTATGTCAATTCCTATCTTATATAATGGATTGGTAAAGCTTATAATGTGGATGACATCAATAATAAAAGCATGGCAAACGCAATTTAAATGTGGTCTTGGTTTACAGAAAACTTACAAATATTTAATATGATTATAGCTGTTACTCATAATATGTCATAAGTAGTTCTTGTAATACGGTTTTGAAGGCAAACATCGTTGTATGATGTCGACCTTAAGGCACATCCGTATGGTTTATGCTATGCATGCTATATCTCAATAGTATGTTTTACATCTTGGTATCAAAACGCATATTTAAGTATCATATTTATCATTGGGCATACTGCATTGATAAACTTAACTCGATTACAGCAAAGCTAATTGAAGGAATGTTAAATTCTAACTTCAAAATATTCAGACGTGGATTTAATTGTGATATCTAATCTTCGTTGAGCAGATAACCTTGGAGATGATTTAGATGACTTTTACCCTGAAGAGAATCCAGGTGATTTTTCTAAGATTTTCATAAGCCACGATTAACGCTTTTTATCAATAAACGAAAAAACCCAGTAAATATTCAAATAATCGGAAAAGTTATTACTTTGCTATACTTTTGCTTTGTTTTGATATTATCCTAAGTGAAAAAGTAAGGACAAACTTGTGAAATGTTATTATACTACAATATTATGATAAACCTTGAAATTATACAAAACCATAAGTACACTACTATGCTTGCTTTGCCTATAGGTCTGTTTGAGGGTGATATTGTTCTCAGAGGAGACCAGACTGTAAGTGTACCTGTCCCATATTTAACAAAATATACATTCTTAAAGTCACAAATGGTTATAAATATTGCATCATGTTGGTAATATATGCGGAACTCCCATAGTAGGTACTTTGAATTCATATATTATCAATTGTTAATTAAAAAAAGTAGTTTTATGATACAAGAAGGTAAAGGTACAATGTCCTAAAGAATTATTTACTTTCGAATCCTATGGTACATTTGTGAATTCATTACAGCACAAAAACGCCATCATTGGAAGCTACCATCATTGGCCCAATGGAATTGTTCCTTACACCGTCCATTCCTCTCACAGTTGTAAGTCCTTACCTTTCATTCCCCTTCCAACTAAGTGTGTCCAAGAAATGTTTGTATTTTTTAAATGGGGTTGCACAAATTTATAGATATATTGTTAAAAATACTGGAAATGATTAATGAACTATTACATCGACATTATTGCATATGAAATCAAAAGTTAAGTGCAACTGAACGGATAAAGCATCCGATGTTGTTTGAAGACACTAAGCAGGTCGTATTATCGTATTGACGATATAAAGGAGTTCGGCATTGTGTTATATAGAATTACCTTCTGTAATATTAATACGTTTTGCTTGTGATCAGCGGCATCCGACAGAGCAATCTTTGCCAAGGCCATGGGAGAAATCATGAACAAAACCAAGGTCAACGGTCAAAGCTGTATCACATTTGTTCCACGTACCAATGAGGATACATACATCCAATTTACTTCAGGATCTGGGTAAGTTAATCAACGTGTGATTAGATTTCACTTTCACTTCGTTAATAGTTCTTATAATGAGATAATAGTACTTAACGTAAGTAAAAGCAACTAAGTGAACAATTCGTTTTGTGTTTTCAAGAGTCAAGTATGTCTGCAATGTCCTTTTTCTTATTTGATCTTATTTGTTTTGTAATCTCCAAATAGCTGCCATACGCCAATCGGATACATGCACAGGCACAGGTCTGATGTCACACTTGGACGCGGATGTTTACGCCACGGCACCGTCATACACGAAATCTTGCACGCGCTCGGATTCTGGCACGAACAAAGCCGTGCTGATCGTGACAACTACGTAACCATCAACTGGAGCAACATTCAACACGGTAAAAAATTCAAAGGTTGAATAATTACTTAGGTTGATACTTTGTATCGAACGTCTCAAATCAGTAATTCAAAGAGTGCTTGTCAGACAGAGAGATGTATTGTAACAAAAGGTCTTATGGATCGAGCATTTGTTATTTTGAAATATATATTTTTATGCCCCAGATCGAAAGATCGAGGCCATATTGTTCTTGTCCTTTCTGTTTGTTTGATAGTACTTAAGAAAGGTTTGATATTGTGTTGTAACCTGCTTCACGTTGACGTAACATAACATCAGAAAGGATCCCGAATGGCGTCGTGATAAAGTGTCATCGGACTGTTAGTTATTTGAGTATGAATATGAGGTTTAAATGAATGATGATCAAATGTTGAATATAAACACACATTTTTGCTGGACACAGGCCACGAAAGCAACTTTAATAAGTATGAGCTTGGACGTAACATCGACCATCTGGGAATGCCTTATGACTACGGATCCGTCATGCACTACAGTGCTTACGCCTTCGCTGTCGACAGGAGCAAGATGACCATTATCCCAAAACAGAGCGGCGTGACCATCGGTCAGCGAGTTCGACTTAGTGACCAAGACGCAAAGGAAGTCCAAATTTATTACGGATGTGTTGCACGTCCCGACAACCATAACACGGTCGTTCCACACCAGTTCTCTGGCACCACTTCGTCACCACATCACACTTCAGCACCTCACCATACATCTGCTCCAGTCACAACCCACAAACCTGTTATCACTCACATTACAGCATCACCCCGTATGTATGACGTAATATTACCTTAAAACCTATTTCTGTTGAAGCCAATTGTACTGTTAAAATACATTTAACAGTGCGATATGTTTTGTTCTTTTCGCTGTTCAATAAAGGGTATTTTACCTGGGATAGATTTATAATAAGTTCCTTTAAAACATTTCACAACATATAAAACAATGACAGGTTTTGATGATTTTTAATCCATTTAAAATCTATACTTTTTACTTATATTTGTCTTCATTGTTGTACGATTTGTTAATGATAATCACGAATTCGTAATCAGTCATGTTTATGCCTACAATAGTCTGACTGTCTATCACTTTAGGAGAAAGTCTTTATATGGTATACCATATATCTTATCGTATCTTATCTTAACATATCTTATCTTATATAAGATTATCTTATACATGTAGGTTTTTAGATGAAATGATGAGTCTTAAATTTTAATTTATCGATGACGTCATTTTCTTTTACGTTTACAGATCCGGTCACCAATGGAGGTACGTAGTAGAGCGTAGCTAGAGAAACTAACCTAAAATATGTATTAGCATTTTAAGGGTGAATGAAACCTGAAGATGATCTATTTCTCTATTTTATCAGATGCAAACAAAATTTCTTAAAACCTTCCTTTTAAGTAAAGCTTTCTATGTAGATTACATGGTAGTTGCATAATTCTTTATTTGTAGTAATTGTCTTATCATCACATAATTTTCATAACATATGTAACATATATAACTTTGAGGCAAAATACATACGTTTCAGTTAGCATGTATCCTTTATATGTTAATATTTCATACTATTTTATCAGTATCATGATTATCAGATTTCTTCACTCATGGATATGTATGATGTACCAATATATTTCCCGAACAATCAGGTTACCATCGTATGACATTCGCCAATTAGCATTCATTGTAGTTAATACCTTCGTCGGGTTACAACTTAATTATATTTGTTATTCACATAACGGTCAATGCTTTTTAAATTGACCACAAATGTCAACAAACAGCATTTGCCGTGACTGCGGTCACAGTCATTTCAAATGATCGTACAAAAGACGTACAAATGAACGACAACTTTCAATAGATATAGAGTAATAAAACGTTAAATGACTAATAATTGATCAATGTGACAAAAACGTTTCGCTGAGCCCTCGGCAAATTTTAAGAAAGAATATATATATATATATCGATACCTAAATTATACTTACAAATCGTTCATCTAAATGCAACGCCAAAAAATTTACAACGAAAATGCATTTTATAAAATGAAGCTCCTCCTTAAATATTTTATATTCTGATTCGGATTCTTTTCTAGCTACTACCTGTAGTTTTGACCATGGTCTCTGCGGATGGACACAGTCACACACTGACACTTTGGACTGGTCAGTTGGTCATGGTTCTACCCCTAGTCGTAACACTGGACCGCATGCTGATCACGACAACAGCGCCTCTGGTATGAATCCACCATACACGAGCACTGCATTGGCTTGCTAAGGCTAGCGTGGCCACAAAAGTTGGCTTGCAAGATCATATTATTTATATATAATTGTAGAGGGGTTTTTTTTGGTGGAGGACCGTGGTTATTATCTATTCTGGTTTTTGATAAAAATAACATATATTGAAGTACTGACCGTGATGTCTGCAGCTGACTCACCGATAAAACGTAAATTAATTTACTCTGATCGACATTTATGCTTTATTATTCAAATTAGTTTTACTGTTTACTATCTTCATACAGTTGGTTCGTGAAGTCTTCGATGATTTACATTTGAAACATACTGTTAAAATAAGAAAACAATATTCATGAAATTGATTTTCAAACTGGATTTAAATTCACGAATTTTTCTCTCAATTTCCCATTCTTAAATATCAGTGAATAATGTTCTTAATTAGCATTGGTGTTCTCCATTTCAAGAGTCAATAACTTTCCATTCTTAAGGCTATTTCGATGCTTTCTTTTCGTACTAAAATTCACACTGTTTTCTTTTTGTAAAGCTAAGTACCTTTTCCTGGAGTCTTCCCGCCACTACCATAAGACAGCAGTCCTTGTTTCGCCATCCTATCGGGCCGGTGAATACTGCTTCAGGTTTTGGTACAACATGAACGGTGATGGTATCGGCTCCTTAAAGATGTACTTCGTACATGGTTCTCACCGAACTCTTATGAGGACGGTGTCTGGTAACCATAACGACATTTGGCATCATGCCACCATGCACCTCAGAATTGGAGGGTCTTCCAACTTCCACGTAAGTAAACTTCAAAGAACCGCTGATACAAGGAAGTGTGTGTCGAAATGAACAGAAATGTCTAGATGAGCTTGCATTTCAAGTTTCTAAATCAAAGTTTATGTCATCATTGCTGGTCATATGAAATTAATTTGCATCTGTTGAGTCAGCAAAAGATAGCTTTTGTCTAGCAACGAATACTTTATCGGATAACGATGATTCACCTAAACACAAATCAACTAATTATCAAAAATACCAGCCGGGTCACAGCTACTGGGGGAGAACAGTTTTATCGTATTTTTATAAGACCAATTATTTTCCATACAAGATACGATTACATATAAGAATTGAAACGGGGTACAAGTCTAGACCTGGAATTCTTAAAAACAGTGTTTCTTTTGCCACTTTGTTTCTCACAAATAAAACGGAAATTAATGATCATCAAAAAAGATCCGTTATTCTGACATATCGTTATTAAGTCAGTAACCTAAATCTGTGTCATGATTGATACTTATATATGACTCATGACTTTGTGTCTTTATTCATTAATAATTCGTTAATCTGACTTCGTGCCCTCATTCATTAATAATTCGTTAATCTGACTTCGTGGCCTCATTCATTCAGAATTCGTTAATCTGACTTCGTGGCCTCATTCATTCAGAATTCGTTAATCTGAATTCGTTAATCTGACTTCGTGCCCTCATTCATTAATAATTCGTTAATCTGACTTCGTGGCCTCATTCATTCAGAATTCGTTAATCTGACTTCGTGGCCTCATTCATTAATAATTCGTTAATCTGACTTCGTGGCCTCATTCATTCAGAATTCGTTAATCTGACTTCGCGGCCTCATTCATTCAGAATTCGTTAATCTGACTTCGTGGCCTCATTCATTCAGAATTCGTTAATCTGACTTCGTGGCCTCATTCATTCAGAATTCGTTAATCTGACTTCGTGGCCTCATTCATTAAGAATTCGTTAATCTGGCTTCTTGCCTTCTTTCATTCAGAATTCGTCAATCTGACTTCGCGGCCTCATTCATTCAGAATTCGTTAATCTGACTTCGCGGCCTCATTCATTCAGAATTCGTTAATCTGACTTCGCGGCCTCATTCATTAAGAATTCGTTAATCTGACTTCGCGGCCTCATTCATTAAGAATTCGTTAATCTGACTTCGTGGCCTCATTCATTCAGAATTCGTTAATCTGACTTCGCGGCCTCATTCATTAAGAATTCGTTAATCTGACTTCGCGGCCTCATTCATTAAGAATTCGTTAATCTGACTTCGTGCCCTCATTCATTAAGAATTCGTTAATCTGGCTTCTTGCCTTCATTCATTCAGAATTCGTTAATCTGGCTTCTTGCCTTCATTCATTCAGAATTCGTTAATCTGGCTTCTTGCCTTCATTCATTCATTAATAAACCGTTAAATAGTCATTGTAACCAAAGAAAATCTACAGTACAGCTTATGATTTCCAAAGGTGAAAATGTTCACGATTTTCTTTTAAAACAATCGGATAATATTTCAAGCAATTGAAATGACATCTAATCATACGTATCTCACTTTTCATTTTTAAATGTTCACGATGACATTATTATTCTGCAAAATAATGAAAATATCATCGTGAAAATAGCCAGTTATATTGCATAAATCTGAATATGAATGCCATATAAAACATAATTACTTGACAAAGAAACCTTAAAATGCTTGTTGCTTTTGTTTCGATCAGTCAAATTGTTTCTGATGATGTTGACTTCCGTTTCAGTTCGAGCTTGAAGGTGCAACTGGAGGAAATTTCCACGGTGACTTAGCTATTGATGATGTTCAGGTTACCCCTGGTCAATGTACTCATTAAAAATTATGCAAATTATCATGTATTATTTATTATACAATAAAACAATAAAAATACTAGTAAAGTTTCTTTGTATATATCTTTTTTCTGTACATTCGTTTAATTGATTATAATATAAGTCTCTCTCTCTCTCTCTCTCTCTCTCTCTCTCTCTCTCTCTCTCTCTCTCTCTCTCTCTCTCTCTCTCTCTCTCTCTCTCTCTTAAACAGGTGAAATGAAGTCTTTTATACATAAAAACATATCTGAACATATCTACATAGAGATTTTTCTTACTTTACAATCAGCTTTAGTTTATCAGCACTGTAATAAAACCTTTATCCTTTTGAGTAGTTTATTTTCTTTAAAAACATAACGATTCCGTTCCTAATTCCATGGCCGGTTGACTATGAAATCCTTTATTTTCGTTGAATTCGTTGTTACCCCTTAATCCACGAATGATTGTACAGCTGCATTTCGTGAGATTTATTAAGGAAATCCAATGTAAACAAAAACGAGTATTTTTGAGAAACTACGATATTTGGGTCCGTTCGTTGAGTCCCTGTGTTATGATGAGGTTGACCGTTTTACAATAGTAATAAACTCTGTTATCTTCGACTGGTTCACTTCAAAGGAAGACTTGTTGTCTTTATTGCTCCTTCGAAACCTGAAATAAAGTGTTTCTTCTCCAACACTGCTTACACAAGTATACCATAAGTTTAATACTGAACAATTATTACTGCACATCATAAACTCACTGACATCGGAGCATTTATCAAGTCTTGCCTTCCAGAAAGGAGTGCATCAAGCTCTAATTGAACAAGATTGAGATGTACTGCCACACGACCTCTAGATTCTCATTTACGTGAAATTCAATTTAAAAGCAGACAGTCTTCTTACTTTATCTAAAATGGCATTATCACATAGATGATCAACATTTTTAATCAAATCTACTTTCACAGTCTAGGTTTTGCGACTTCAACGATGCAAAACATTTTAAAAAATAAGAATAAAGGCCTTTTATTTATGAACATATGCGGTCTTCATTAATTAGCCGTCATAATATGTATAAAATTGTACAAAAGACACAAAAATGAATAGCACCGTTTCATACAAATTTTGAATTTCAAATAATGAATTAAACTGCGTCATACAGCTATTTCGTCCTTCCAGGACTATTGACACTAACCAGGTCTTAACAAATGGGTCTAAATAGTGGTGAAAATGGTGGATCTTGAGGACTTTTTTTAAACATTGCACAGTTACATGATTTTGTTTCTTTCGTTTCACTTACCATTGCATTGTTGAATTATGTTTTAGATAATTTTACGTTTTATGTTTCATTGTTTTCCGTAATTGTACAGAAGCAAAACATCCTACCTATTAACGCAAATCTAACAAATACCCATCAGAGAAACACTTACTTGTTTATACGTTGTTATGGTTACCATTAGCCTGGAAAAAAGGAATATGAAAACCACAAAACTGACACCACCCATAATTCACGGGTTTATTTCTTGTCTTTGCATATCAATTTGATTGTTTAAGCATAAGACTATTGTCATTCTCCTGGGAAGTAACTGTGCCCCTCTGTTGGCTGAAATGTTTTTGTTTTCATAAAAGGCTGAATTTTTCGAAGATATTATCAAAGCATGTCACAAAGACCTTTCCATGTCATTCAGTTTCACTTTTGGCTATATTGATGTCGTCTTTTTATTAATTAACAAGAGATTTATTTATCACGTTTATCGCATATACCCAATTCAAGGACACTACACACTCTTCTACATCATCCGTTTATCTCGATCTTTCCCTGCATCGAAACCAACATGAACAGCTTATCACTTAGCATGACGATTTAAACTTCCCTGTTGTGAATTTTCCATTCCTAGGTAGCAATATTCCTGCATCCCCAACCTATGGTGTTTACATGTCGCAGGTGATTCGATATTCAAGTGTCTGTTCCCATTGACGGACAAACTCGTAATACAGGATTTCAAAAGATTCGTGATGAAAAGTATGGGGAAGATTTAAATCGTAGTGATCTCATTAAGAAATATACTGTGTTATGCTGTACGTGGTTGATGCTCGTTAGTTTGCCTGGTGGTTCTGATGTTGTTTACCTTGTTATCATTTGAGGACGTCAAATAACTTACTTGGGTTGACCAAGGTTTACATGGCGCATGTCGTCTTGTTCGCTGGTCATATTCTCCTTGTACGTTTTCAGGAGTCTCCGTGTAAATCTTTATTTTATTCCTAATTTGCTTTAGTTTTATTGGATTTGAGTTTGGAATATGGTTCTGTTGACATGTTGGTATTTTCCTACTGTTTTATTATTGCTACGTATCGGCTGTAGCGTTTTTTATATTAATACATAATGTAACATCTTCGCATTTATGATAGAAGTTTCATTCAAAATTCATGTCATTAGCCCATCTGTTTAAACATAGATAAATAAATGATGGTAATAATAATAATTGTGCGAGAACAAACAACTCTTCTAGGTTTAATGTTTAATCCATCCTCCAGTGAGGATGAAAGATTCGTGGTGTATCTCTATGTATTGCACTTTGCATACATCCGTAAACCGCGCTGAACAAACAGCGTCAAACATGGCGGCTCATAGCAATGCTTTCTACGGCGATACTAAATGCCAGGGTCGACCGGCGGAACCGATTGACTTTCCGGATACATCACACTCCCCTTCCGATTTACAAAGGAAATCGCCAATAAGTGTTACATAGAATTGAATGTTACTGCAATAAGAGTACTTATAAACATATATCACAATGAAATACAATTACTTCAACCATCGGCCTACTTCTGTCGGACCCTAAAATTAAATAATGTTGATCATAAGAACACAAACATACGAATTCACAGAAAGTTCAAATGTTTACATCAAAGTCAGATGTGTCCGCTACACATGAAAATGTTTATCAGTTCATTCGAAAGCAACTAATCGAACAAGTCCCGAAATAGGTCGAACATATGATACACGAGTATCTCCACGAACAACTGACAGTTTCACTTTTCGTACTACGGAGTCTTTACTCGGATAGACTTCCTCAACTATTCCAATCGGCCAATTATTGCGATTGGTGTCATCCCTCATCAACACAATGTCATTCTTTTTGAAGGAAACTCCACGCCCTTACCATTTTTGACAAACTTGCAAATGATGAAGATAGTCCCGTTTCCAACGACGCCAGAATTCGTCGGCCATACGTTGCACGAATTTCCACTGACTCCTTAGAGCATCCTTCGAACCAAAACCTGTTAGGTCGAGGGGTGAAACGCTATCCTGAGGTTTCTGAGTAAGAATAAGCGACGGCGAAAGAATCGACTCTGGATCCGTAGATACTGGCAACAACGGTCGTGAGTTCATGATGGCGGACACCTCTGCCATAAACGTTGCAAGTGTATCATGCATCAAATCCTTCGACTTGTTCTCCAACAGAAGACCGTCCAATATACGCCGACATGAACCCACCATCCGCTCCCAGGCTCCTCCAAAATGGTGTGCGTACGGCGGATTAAACAACCAAGAACTGCCAGCGTTCTCGAGAAATTCCTGGATCGGTCGGTCCTCGATGAATGAAGCACTGATGCCCAACTCTTTAACGGCACCAACAAAATTAGATCCGCGGTCGGACCTAAACTGACGCACAGGACCATAATAGCGGTAAATCTGCGAAGGGCGTTGATAAACTGACAACTACTCATCTCTTCTATATGTACACCTCTAGACACAAGACAGGTGAATAGAACGCCCCAGCGTTTAGCGCTGGTAGTACTTCCACGAAGTGATCTTTTCACGACAACTGGCCAGTGGCCAAAAACATCCACTCCTACGAAGGAAAATGGCGGGCAAGATTCCACTTTATCCGGAGGAAGTTGTGCCATATGTGTCCATCCAAACTTGCCTCGCAACCTCCTGCATGTAACGCAAGAATGAATAACGGAATTGAGTAAGCGACGTCCACCAACAACCCAATAACCTGCAGAACGGAGCGCACCTTCCGTAAGGTGCCTCCCCTGATGGTGAACTTCAGCGTGATACTGTCGCGTAAGCAGTTTCCCAACATGATGTCCCTTAGGAATGACAATAGGGTGGTTACGCAAAGAAGGATTATCGTCATTTACTCTCATCTGTCTGAGACGTCCATTTACACGTAAAATGCCTTCTGGATCCAAGATGGGACAAAGTGTCGACAAAGAACTATCTCTCGGGGGACTCTTTCCGGTACTGATTGCGCTAATCTCTGCTGCGAAAGCCTCTTGTTGTGCTTGCCGAATGATGAAACGCTCTGCTTCAGCTCTGAGTTCAACGGCGTTTACATCGCAAGATTTCCGTTTCCTTATCACCCGTTTCAAGAACATTATCGCTCGCACTAAGCTTGTCCACATTGAGAACCGTTCGAAACGTTCACAACCAAGTAAACGACGCGTCACCGATGTCTTGACCCTTGCGAAGAAAAGAAGGGCCATTAATCCACAGGCTATTCGGAAGTTCGAAAGCGCTACAACCGCGAGTAGCTATATCGGCGGGATTTTCACTCGATGCGACGTATTTCCAGGAATGAGGTCCACAAAAGGATCGGATTCTGCTCACCCGATTCGCGACATACACGTGAAACCTTTTGGATTCATTCGAAATATAGCCCAACACAACGCGGCTGTCCGTGTAGAATGTAAACATGTCTTTGGGTACATCGAGTTGCTCTCTAATATTCTCTGCAATGTCGACCGCGAGAAGCGAAGCACACAGTTCTAATCTCGGTATCGTGTGGCCATGTGCAGGTGCCACCTTCGCCTTCCCGGTAAGAAACCCAATCTCACTAGAGTCTTCAGAAAACACTTTGATAAATGCCACTGCGGCAACAGCCTCTTTCGATGCGTCGGAAAATACATGAACTTCAACACGCGATGACATCTCCACAGACAACGAACAGTGCATACGTGGAATGGTGAAGTCCTGAAGGTGAACAAGTTCGTCAACCCACCTTTCCCAATGGATCCTCAACGTTTACGGAAGCAACTCGTCCCAGCCACACTTTGACGACATGGCCTCCCGCATGAGTATCCTTCCTTCGACTGTCACGGGAGCCGTAAAACTAATAGGATCGAATAGACTGTTAATCACGGATAACACGCCTCTACGCGTAAATGGTTTCAGGTCTTTGTCTGCGCGAAACAAGAAACGGTCGGAAACAATATCCCAGCAAATCCCCAAACTCCTCTGTTCAGGTAAGCAGTCTTGACCTAGATCTAGATCTTTAAGATCTTTCGCTAAATCCTCTTTGGGGAACAGTTCCAATACCTCCGTCGAATTGGAAGCGATCTTATGGAGCCTCAATCTTCCGCCATCGTACAACGCTGTCTGCGTTCTCTGTACCAAACTAACAGCCCTTTCAACGCTCGGAAAACTCATCATTCCGTCATCCACATAAAAATTGTCCGACACAAACCTCTGCACATCCGGATCAGCAGATGACACCGACTTACGAAGGCCATAGTTCGCAACCGCGGGAGAGGTTCGGTTTCCAAACACGTGTACCGTTATCCTAAACACCTTCAAGGGAGAATCCAAGTCATTGTTCGTGTGCCAGAAAAAAACGGAGGTAATCGCGGTGAGGTTCAACAACTCGAAAGTTGTGGAACATTTGTTCCACGTCAGCCACAACCGCGATTTCCTCTTGGCGGAATCTCATCAATATACCCTGCAAGTTGTTGGCGAAATCAGGACCCTTAATCATCACATCGTTAAGGGATATCCCTTCGTGCTGGGCAGAGGAATCAAATACGACCCTTATGGAACTCGGTTTTTTAGAATGGTAGACCCCGAACAAAGGGAGGAACCAACATTCTGCGTCATCGGGTAAATCGGGAGCCTTTTCTGCGTGACCTCTGGCGAACAATGTTTTCATAAAGTCCTTCACGTGGGCACATTTTTGCTCGTTATGATGCAAACAACGATCGAAGGATCTAGCTCGTCTGAGTGCTTGACATTTGTTATTCGATAATCGCGTCCTATCCTTCTTGAATGGAAAAGGCGCTTCCCAACGGCCATTCTCATCTTTCGCAAATGATTGTTCCATAACCTCAAAAAAGGTACGATCCTCTGCCGACAAACCTATTCTCTCGTCCTGATCAGTCTTCTCAAACAAATCTCTTTGCACGGAAAGCTCGTTTTCGCATGGTGAAAACCTAGAATGTCTACCATTTCCTAGTATGTAGCTTTTCATAGTTCGGACTTCAGAAATATGTGCTCCACCAAAACAAACTTGTCCGACAATCACCCATCCTAACGGTAGCTTCTGAGCAAAAGGCTGATCCTCTTCTCCCAATATCTGGTCCTCAACAACGTGGGCACGAATAACGTCCCTGCCAAGAAGGAGCTCCATGTCATCATCTTCAATGACATGCGGAATAAGCGGTGCTACGTGTCTCAGATAGCTACCTCGGGAGATGGAATCTCATCCCTGCTACTAGGAATGTTGTTGCATTCCAACAGACTAGGAATAGCAAGTTCGCAACTTCCGTCGAGAGATTGAACCTTATAGCCAGTGCACATCCTGCCCGCAGCAGCGACTGCGCCGGAACAAGACACTAGAGTGTAGGGAATATCTTTGCAGGACTCATTGAAACGGTTGAATAATACCGACGTTCCTAACGACTGATTACTTTGGTCATCGATAGTCGCGTAAACGATGACGGATTCTTCGGGAATGGACTCGCGAAATACACGCACTGGAATTATTTTGGCGCATGATTTGCATACGCCGGTGATTTGAGCGCACATTGATGTAGCAGTCTCTGCAGGCTTTCTCTCCCCTTCGTAGTTTTGAGAACCTGATGAAGTATTGGGATTGAAGACCTGGGAAGAACTTAAGCCTTTCTCTTCATGCAGAGCAGTAGGATGAGTTGCAGCTTGACAGATGTTACACTTCACTTGGGTCTTACAATTTCTCGCTCGATGTTTCTTTCCAGAACAACAACGGAAACATATACCACTCAAGAGTATGATCTTTTTCAGTTCGTCGATAGACTTTTGTCTAAACGGTTTACATTCGTTGAGGACGTGCTTACCGTTCTTGTGAAGCGGACAGATTTCAGAGTCCTCAGGCCATTCTTGGGCATTGACCTTCATAACGGTTACGTTTCGCTTTGTAGAGGATGGCGACTTCGAATTCGGATTATTTTGTCGAGGAGCCTTGGATTCAAACTGAAAGGCAGGGTCGTTCCCCATGCTAGCCATATTCTCAATAAACTTGACGAAGAACTCAAATGGAGGATACAGAACATTTTTCTGTTGCTTATAGCGTGTAGCTGCAGAGGTCCATTTCTCCTTGACATTCCAAGGTAACTTCTCGACAAGTTCATTCACGCCCTTTTTGGAGTGGACATACGCGAATAACGCTCCAAACTGCGGTTGATAGAAGAGATTTCCATAGCCAAGTCGGTCAGATCATACAGAAGACGATATTTGTCGACAGTTTCTGCTGTGAAGACGAGCTTCAACCATTTCCGGTGCACCATAGCGCCTTTCAAGTCTCTCCCAGATTTTCTTGCATGCTAGATCTGGATCATGCACGCCATAACCTTGTATCTTCTTCGCTTGTATGGAAGATTCTGGACCCAAAATTCGCACAATAATTCTAACTCCTCGGTCTTGGTAGCCTCCACATCTTTCATTATCCCTTGAAAACTAATTTTCCAGGAGAGAAACCTCATAGGGTCATCGTCATACTTGGCCAACCTTGTCGTAATCAGTTCTCGTTTTACGAGATGTTTTGTGAATGTGTCGACGATTCCACTCTGGGTATCAGCCCGTGTCGGAGCTTTAGGCACAAAGGGGGGGATTGCAGGGTCAAGAGTAGAAATTATGGGGTCTGCAGTTTCCGGTCCTACAGCAGAGCTTTGCGGCAAGTTCTCCACATAATCTCGGGTACGTTCTGCACTGTTTACCCTACTCGCAACTTCGCTAAATATTGAATACGGAGGTTCCTTGAGTACATTCACTTCTCTTTCAATCATTTCTAAATCACGCTTTGCTCGCAACTGCTTTAGTTGAGCTTTTAAAGCCAATTCTTCCTCCAAATGTTGCAATCGTACACGCTGGGCTTCAAGTTTAGCTTCTTTCCTGCGCAATATTGAACTATCGGCAGTTCTTTGTGAGGAATGGCGAGACCCGGAATGGTGAGATGCAGAACCCGACTGTGAAGTACACTCACTCTCGGAAATATCAAGCTCTAACTGCTGTACATATGTTTTTATTGTTTTTCGTATTGCGTTTGATTTTGCAAAGAACAAGTTTCTTTCTGTATCTAGTTGCGTGAGTTCATTTACACTTTCAACTGATCTGGTTTTCCGTAAGAAGTCGCGAAATATATCGGCGCTTTTGAAGTATGATACTTCGACACATGAAACTAGTTTATCGAGAGCTAGTAAAGTATCTTTGTCATTTTTTCCTCCCTCTATGTCGTCTGGCAGTGACCTTAGCTCATTCTTGATATCGTTTAACTTCTCATAGTATGTTTTAACCTTATCGTGATACATATCAGTGTTCCCATTCACGCACATATGTACGTAATTCACGTTTAAAATGTAAATTCCCACGTAAGAAAATACAGAGATATACGTAATATTCACGCACATTTATGAATCACTAATTCTTGCCCCTCAACCCGTCAGACTTATGATAATCCTTCGGAACGTGTCGGGCCGCTTTATGCGGATTATGCCTAGAACCGAGATACCCGAATGCATAGATGTATACACAAAATGGCGCAGGTGACACTCAATAGCTTTTGGGAATCGTCTGCTGTTAGCAGAAACAAACGAAAAAGTAGAGATGATGATGAAATAGACAGCTCGTCTGAAACAAGAAAACATACTAAAACATCATCGGCACAATATCCAAAAACTTTTCAACAGAAATGGCTGTTAGAATTCGATTGGCTGAGAAAAGAAGATTCCGGTATGTTCTGTTCCCTATGTAAGGAAATGCCGCACTGTAAATTTTCGCCGTTTTGTAAAGGAACCAAAAATTTTCAGAGATCAGCGCTTGTGCGACATCAGCAGTCAAAAGATCATCTACTATCGATTCAGACAAAACGACAAAAGGTGTACATGAACGCTGCCAAAACATGCTTGAAAAAGAATTATCAGCGTATACTCGAGGCTCAACTGAAGACGGCACTGTGGCTGGCCAAGGAGAACATTGCTAACCGCAAGTTTATAAGCTTAGTAGATCTGCAGGTGGTTATTTCATTAGTGTAAGAAATTTGATTAATGGTCAGAACAGTGGGAAGGATTACCATTGTTATGAATATTGTCAATGTGGATAAAAAACAAAATCACAAAATACATTGTACACGTGACTATACTGGAGACATGTTATTAAACAAATTGTTAGGATTTCATTCTTAGTTTTAATTTGGATAAATAACAAATTTTAACTAGTTAATAGTAAATAATTAAAAATAAATTCATGTCATTTAACATTAACATTTTAAAATGATCTATGAATAAAACAAACTAAAGAATACCACTACCAGTAATTTATTATTTCATTTTTTAATCAGATTTCAAATGGATCAACAGTATTTCAAAAGAGTTCCGCGGGAAGGAGTTCAACTTCATCAAGTGGGATTTATACAAATCATCAGGCACCTAGTGATATGCAAAGAGCACTGGCAGACGTGTTGAGAGAATTGACCATTGTCCGAGTGAGAGATAGTCCATTTGTTGGTCTTATGGTAGATGAATCCATGGATATTGCCACAAATAAAAAACTTATTATGTTTTGTAAAATTGTACATGCTGGTCAAATCAAAATAGAGTTCTGTGCAAATGTAACTGTAAGTGATGGAAAAGCAGATACAATATATAATGCTATTGTAAATTGGATGGACGATGTTGGCATTAGCTTCAAGAACATTTCTGGATTTGGAAGTGACGGAGCAGCAGTGATGACTGGTAGACTTTCAGGTGTTGGAGTGAAGTTAAGGGCACAGAATCCTCACATAATTCATGTATGGTGTGCAGCACATAGGTTGTCTTTGGTGGCACATTGGGCTGCTAAGAAAGTTCCATACTTAAGAAAAGTACAGGAGCTGTTAATAGCAATTTATTATTATTATGAATTTTCAGCTCCACGTTATAACAAACTTTGGGAATTGAAAAAAATCATGAAAGAAAAGGTTAAGAAGTTTAAAAAACCAACAGAGGTTCGGTGGTTATCACTACAAGATGCAATAATTGCAGTCTATGAAAACTGGTCTGTACTCATCTTAGGAATGGAACATGAAGCCGCCAATGCTCCCAGAACTGAGGGTGGAGCAAAAGCAAAAGGGATAGGGAGAGACATCAAGACATTCAAATTCATTTCAGTATTATGTCTATTGAAGGATATACAGAACATATTTTGTAAATTATCCAGAACATTCCAGAGAGACATTATTGATATTCAGCAGGTCACATCTATGGTTATCTCAGCTCGAGATACCATACAATCTTTTTACCATACTGACCCTCCAACTGTAGTTGATTTGTTAGACACTATTGAGGAATCTGATGAGTACAAAGGGATTCCACTTACATGTTCTATTAGGGATAGGATTGTATTCAGAGATGTTAAGCGAGCTTTTGTCAGAAACTTGGTGTCAGAATTTAATGAACGCTTTCCAGAAGACAATATGAGGGACTTGAAAGACCTGAATGATGTTCTTAATCCGAAAATACTGCCAGTGAACCATGCAGGTATTGTTAACCATGGCACAGAATCCCTTGAGAGAGTGATAGAGAAATATGGAGGGGGTGAAGGTGACAATCTCATTGATCCTAATAGAACCAGAGATGAGTATCTGCAGTTCAAATTTTTGCTAAATGTTAACAGACATTTTGAGGTAACAGACATGTGTTTAAAGATCACAAATGACTACACTGAGGAATTTCCAGACTTTTGTGTTCTAGCTGGTATATTCATGACTGTGCCATTAACTTCAGTCCCCTGTGAAAGGGGATTTTCACTCCAAAACCGTCACCATTCTGCCTCGACAAATAAAAGAAGTGTTTCTACTGTTGAGGACAGAATGGTCATTGGATATTATTCAAACAAAGATGACTTTGATCCAGAGGAAATTGTCCACCGAGCTTGTGACAAAATATTGTAAAAGCAATATTTCGCTAGTACTGTCTCAACTCTGTGTTGTAAAACCTTTAATGTTACTTATCATTGGCCTTGTTATTAATACAAGTGCTACATAGTATGTTTCCAAGAAAAACGTTTACAACAGTATTATAACAAAAACAGTTTGATGCCATTGGATCGATGATAATAAAAAAAAAACATTTCATTCAGTGATATTTGTATTTTATTTTATTTTCAGTGAAACAATAAAATCAGAACAATAAATCAAACATACTCATCCTCATATTCCATAAAGAACACATTAACTAATATGAACTGAAAAGAAACATGGAATTTGACCCTATATACCTATAACATCAATCATACCCCCACTTTTTAACTTCATACCCCCAGTTTTTGGAAGGTGGGGTATGAATACCCCCAGTTTGAAAAGTGAGTGGGAACACTGCATATCCAAAGCTGGTAATGTCAATGTTCTAGTGCGGAGAGATCTCATACCTGGTTCCGAATGCACACTCATGTTGACCTGTAGCTCGATGATAACGTCACGAATCTTTTACTGTGCGAGAACAAACAACTCTTCTAGGTTTAATGTTTAATCCATCCTCCAGTGAGGGTAAAAGATTCGTGGTGTATCTCTACGTATTACACTTTGCAAACATCCGTAAACCGCGCTGAACACACAGCGTCAAACATGGCGGCTCATAACAATGCTTTCTACGGCGATACTAAATGCCGGAGTCGACCGGCGGAACCGATTGACTTTCCGGATACATCACAATAACCAAAACAAATATGAATATAAACGAAGATTTTCGTAACGTGAATAAACCAAGTACCCGGTGTAGTCGATGAAACGGATGGCGTTTTTACTTCCGGACCCCTTTGACTTTTTCTCTTTGTCTTAGAGCCTGCATGTCAATATTTCTGTGGTAATGTTTCACCTTCATTTCATTGATTTTTATTTTGCTTTACAATAATGTACTTTTTAAACCAATAACCACTATTAACATTTAAATATCTTATCTTTAAAAATTAATTTTCCACGAAAATGGAAAATTCTATGTTATCGATTTGCTGATAAAGAAAAACAAAAGTAGTGCAGAAATCGTGACAACCTTTATTTTGATAGCGATGACGTACAGAACATGTGAAATTACAGGTGAAATGTTATCTACTAGAACTTCAACCGTTTGACCCAAAGACTCGACCTTGTTCATGTACAATGCCTCTACCAACACCAGTATGGTCACTTGTAGTTTAAGTCGGTTGAACAGAAGTTAGGTGATAAACACGTCACGTCGTTTACACCCTAAATGTTTTCACTCAAAGACAATGGCTTTAAAAAAAATCCAAACAAACAACAACGACATATCTGAAAGTAATATCAAACGACTTTGCAAGGTACTTGTGACCTGTTTAGATAAGTTCTTCGAAAAATTCAACCTGGTATGAAAACAAAAACATGTCAGTCAACAAAGGGGCACGGTAAGTTCACATAGTAATGTCAATAGTCTGTTGGAAGATCTTACCTCAAAGATCGACGAAGATGTTGTCTACCAAAAACTCGATTATTTTTATGAACTCGTCCTGCATGTATCTCTCCTTTGTTTTGGACATATTGCTTAACGAGATACGCTCCTGTATTGTTCGCACTCGTATATCTATACCGCCGATCATCTTTCTTTGAAAAGAAAGCCCTCATATCAAGAGAACGAATGAATAATTGGGGTATGGTGGTGTACAGGGTGGAAACATCAAATAGCTTTATATAAGGAATGTTTTTAGAAGAGCGTGTTAAAAACAGATTGGGTAAAAGGTCAGACAGAGGTCACAGAAGTAAAGATATTACAAAAACGTAACAAATTCAGAGCAATATCGAAAAGTTCAGTGATTTCTTTGGATCAAAAGTAAACATTATTATTAGAGAGTCAATGGTTTTTATACCATGTTGATGTTCTGTATAAATGATATACAGACCTGTATATAAATACTGCTACAATGTTGATGTTCTGTATAAATTTTTCCAGGGTCTGTTGGATACTGTATAAATGATATACAGACCTGTATATAAATATTTTCCATGTTCTGTCTGGGATAAATGATCTGTAATATTTTCCAGGGTCTGTCTGGGATACTGTGAATATTTTCCTGTCTGGGATCCTGTGAATATTTTCCAGGGTCAGTCTGGGATACTGTGAATATTTTCCAGGGTCTGTACTGTGAATATTTTCCAGGGGGATACTGTGAATATTTTCCAGGGTCTGTCTGGGATACTGTGAATATTTTCCGAGGTCTGGGTTGGATAATGTGAATATTTTCAAGGGTGTGTCTGGGATACTGTGAATATTTTCCAGGGTCTGTCTGTACTGTGAATATTTTCCTGGGTCTGTCTGGGATACTGTGAATGTTTTCCAGGGTCTGTCTGGGATACTGTAAATATTTTCCATGGTCTGTCTGGGATACTGTGAATATTTTCCAGAGTCTGTCTGGTATACTGTGAATGTTTTCCAGGGTCTGTCTGGGATACTGTGAATGTTTTCCAGGGTCTGTCTGGGATACTGTGAATGTTTTCCAGGGTCTGTCTGGGATCCTGTGAATATTTTCCAGAGTCTGTCTGGGATACTGTGAATATTTTCCAGGGTCTGTCTGGGATACTGTGAATATTTTCCAGGGTCTGTCTGGGATACTGTGAATATTTTCCTGTCTGGGATGCTGTGAATGTTTTCCAGGGTCTGTCTGGGATACTGTGAATGTTTTCCAGGGTCTGTCTGGGATACTGTGAATATTTTCCAGGGTCTGTCTGGGATACTGTGAATGTTTTCCAGGGTCTGTCATGGATACTGTGAATATTTTCCAGGGTCTGTCTGGGATACTGTGAATATTTTCCTGGGGATCTGTCTGGGATACTGTGAATATTTTCTAGGGTCTGTCTGGGATACTGTGAATATTTTCCTGTCTGGGATGCTGTGAATGTTTTCCAGGGTCTGTCTGGGATACTGTGAATATTTTCCAGGGTCTGTCTGGGATCCTGTGAATATTTTCCAGGGTCTGTCTGGGATACTGTGAATATTTTCCAGGGTCTGTCTGGGATACTGTGAATATTTTCTAGGTTCTGTCTGGGATACTGTGAATATTTTCCTGTCTGGGATACTGTGAATGTTTTCTAGGGTCTATCTGGGATCCTGTGAATATTTTCCATGGTCTGTCTGGGATACTGTGAATGTTTTCCAGGGTCTGTCTGGGATACTGTGAATATTTTCTAGGGTCTGTCTGGGATACTGTGAATATTTTCCAGGGTCTGTCTGGGATACTGGGTCTGTCTGGGATACTGTGAATATTTTCCAGGGTCTAGCTAGGATACTGTGAATATTTTCCAGGGTCTAGCTAGGATACTGTGAATATTTTGCAGGGTCTGTCTGGGATACTGTGAATATTTTCCATGGTCTGTCTGGGATACTGTGAATATTTTCCTGTCTGGGATGCTGTGAATGTTTTCCAGGGTCTGTCTGGGATACTGTAAATATTTTCCATGGTCTGTCTGGGATACTGTGAATGTTTTCCAGGGTCTGTCTGGGATACTGTGAATATTTTCCATGGTCTGTCTGGGATACTGTGAATATTTTCCAGGGTCTGTCTGGGATACTGTGAATATTTTCCAGGGTCTGTCTGGGATACTGTGAATATTTTCCAGAGTCTGTCTGGGATACTGTGAATATTTTCTAGGGTCTGTCTGGGATACTGTGAATATTTGCCATGATCTGTCTGGGATACTGTGAATATTTTCCTGTCTGGGATGCTGTGAATGTTTTCCAGGGTCTGTCTGGGATACTGTGAATATTTTCCAGGGTATGTCTGGGATACTGTGAATGTTTTCCAGGGTCTGTCTGGGATACTGTGAATATTTTCTAGGGTCTATCTGGGATACTGTGAATATTTTCCAGGATCTGTCTGGGATACTGTGAATGTTTTCTAGGGTCAGTCTGGGATACTGTGAATATTTTCCTGTCTGGGATCCTGTGAATATTTTCCTGTCTGGGATACTGTGAATATTTTCCAGGGTCAGTCTGGGATACTGTGAATATTTTCCAGAGTCTGTCTGGGATACTGTGAATATTTTCTAGGGTCTATCTGGGATCCTGTGAATATTTTCCATGGTCTGTCTGGGATACTGTGAATGTTTTCCAGGGTCTGTCTGGGATACTGTGAATATTTTCCATGGTCTGTCTGGGATACTGTGAATGTTTTCCAGGGTCTGTCTGGGATACTGTAAATATTTTCCATGGTCTGTCTGGGATACTGTGAATGTTTTCCAGGGTCTGTCTGGGATACTGTAAATATTTTCCATGGTCTGTCTGGGATACTGTGAATATTTTCCAGAGTCTGGGATGCTGTGAATGTTTTCCAGGGTCTGTCTGGGATACTGTGAATATTTTCCAGAGTCTGTCTGGGATACTGTGAATATTTTCCATGGTCTGTCTGGGATACTGTGAATATTTTCCATGGTCTGTCTGGGATACTGTGAATGTTTTCCAGGGTCTGTCTGGGATACTGTGAATATTTTCTAGGGTCTGTCTGGGATACTGTGAATATTTTCTAGGGTCTGTCTGGGATACTGTGAATATTTTCCAGGGTCTGTCTGGGATACTGTGAATATTTTCCAGGGTCTGTCTGGGATACTGTGAATATTTTCCAGGGTCTGTCTGGGATACTGTGAATGTTTTCCAGGGTCTGTCTGGGATACTGTGAATATTTTCTAGGGTCTGTCTGGGATACTGTGAATATTTTCCAGAGTCTGTCTGGGATACTGTGAATATTTTCCTGTCTGGGATACTGTGAATATTTTCCAGGGTATGTCTGGGATACTGTGAATGTTTTCCAGGGTCTGTCTGGGATACTGTGAATATTTTCCAGGGTCTGTCTGGGATACTGTGAATATTTTCTAGGGTCTGTCTGGGATACTGTGAATGTTTTCCTCTGTCTGGGATACTGTGAATGTTTTCCAGGGTCTGTCTGGGATACTGTGAATCCAGGGATACTGTGTCTGTCTGGGATAGTGTGAATATTTTCCATGGTCTGTCTGGGATACTGTGAATATTTTCCAGGGTCTGTCTGGGATACTGTGAATATTTTCCAGGGTCTGTCTGGGATACTGTGAATATTTTCCTGTCTGGGATACTGTGAATATTTTCCATGGTCTGTCTGGGATACTGTGAATGTTTTCCAGGGTCTGTCTGGGATACTGTGAATATTTTCTAGGGTCTGTCTGGGATACTGTGAATATTTTCCTGTCTGGGATGCTGTGAATGTTTTCCAGGGTCTGTCTGGGATACTGTGAATATTTTCCAGGGTCTGTCTGGGATACTGTGAATATTTTCCATGGTCTGTCTGGGATACTGTGAATATTTTCCTGTCTGGGATACTGTGAATATTTTCCATGGTCTGTCTGGGATACTGTGAATATTTTCCAGGGTCTGTCTGGGATACTGTGAATATTTTCCATGGTCTGTCTGGGATACTGTGAATATTTTCCATGGTCTGTCTGGGATACTAGGGTCTGTCTGGGATATGTGAATATTTTCCATGGTCTGTCTGGGATACTGTGAATATTTTCCATACTGTGAATATTTTCCATGGTCTGTCTGGGATACTGTGAATGTTTTCCATGGTCTGTCTGGTATACTGTGAATGTCCTACAGCTTAGTTCACTATAGTACTACCTCATTGATTCCTGATATCAACGTTATGATAGGATGTAATTGTGGTGATTATTTTTTTGAAAATTTTAATGTCACTGCGTGTGTGAGGGTGTATGTTACTTCTATTTCTGAGTTTGAGATATTTTAACACTAATACTTGACATAATGCACTAATGGTACCATGTATTCCCACGGTAGCGAAGGCGTTGGAATAACCACAAATGGTAAGTTAGGACTTTGTTTAAGGTTTGGGTCAAATAAACTGAGTTCGACAGTCTCTCTTTTAAAAATTTAAAAGCTTCAAGTGTGGTCAGACAGACGTGTTTCCTGTGTGTATTACCCTTTGTACAGCCAGGAACATGGTGTGGCAGGATCGTCTTTGTGCTAGATGGTGGCTTCCTCACAGAACACCATACGGGAGACTCATCACGTGCCATCCACAGCAATTAGGGTTAAGTGTCTTGCCAAAGAACACAACCTCAACAACACAGACTAGTCCATTTGGCAGTTTTCTGAGCAACACAAACCATTATAGGTAAAGTGCTTCGAACACTACGCTTGTCGGGATTTTATCTGCGGTTACATAGGTCAACACACAAAGACTGATGTATCACGGGTCAGAGAGGTTTATAATGTCTGATATATCATCCCTTACATTATACAGACTTATATGTAAACTCTATTGTGTCATAATCCGTGGTAATGACGAGTCATTCTCATGTAAATACCACATTTTTGTTAAGAAACTTCTTTGAAGTGTGAAACATGACGTAAAGAACTGGAATGCAATGTACCACAGCTTAATGTAACGAGACACCTTTAACTGTGATGTTTATCTTAACATCACATCCAGATTATCCAATTGTATCAGATTTATACAATGGTACTAAAAGTGTATTGTAATATTAATTATTATTTTTACTATATCGTTGTGATTTAGAGAAAAATGCCACATCGTTGAATCATCATTTTCTTTTGCTATGGTGAAGTATTTGAATATCAAATGTCAGTTTCAAGTCGAAAGTGTGACACGACATCATCTTTACCATTTCTCTATAAGGGCATCATCTTTACCATTTCTCTACAGTGACATCATCTTTACCATTTCTCTACAATGACATCATCTTTACCATTTCTCTACAATGACATCATTTTTACCATTTCTCTACAATGACATCATCTTTACCATTTCTCTACAATGACATCATCTTTACCATTTCTCTACAATGACATCATTTTTACCATTTCTCTACAATGACATCATCTTTACCATTTCTCTACAATGACATCATCTTTATCATTTCTCTACAGGGACAACTTCAATTTCTGTTTTCTGCAATTAGATATTTTATTATACAGTGACAAAGAGTTTTTTCTTTATATTGGAAACAATAATGTATTTTACGTTACACTGACAACTGTAGACCGTGGTTTTCCTGCTCTACCACACACTCGCACAGCCTCAGACAGCCTGTTGTTCCCCTTTTGTATCCCTTAGGTGGTGACAATGATTTATGATTAGCTGATAATCATCGTTAACCTAACAAATATCAATTTACAAGCCCTTATTGTTGTGATACCGTATAACGACCCTACTTAGCACAGCGTACGATAGCCAGGGTAGCAGAAATATTAATAGTAATTCACGGTTTCTCCGATATCATTCACGGTGGAAATTGACTTACGGTGTTTCGGCCCAACATTACGAAGATTTCAATCGGTGTTGACGTTTAGTTGAAACGTGTGACGTCTATTGACCTCGATGTTGTATAGATATACCCAGGAATTATTTTGTGATGTCGAACGATTCTTTGACCGGTAGATTTATTTGTGTCGACATTATATCAAAATAATCACACTAAATCGTACGTTATAACACCAATTAAGGATAGATGTGTACGGATATGATGTTGATATGCTTTGCTTATTCTATATATTTCGACAGCAATTAAAGAATTGTTGATTAAACAGTATATATGTAATGTTTCGTCGGAGATATAGCATCATCACTCTACCATTATAGGCAGGCTGGAAAATAACCCCCAGCTTTTTACTTTATTTATAACCTTAGAGTCAGATGTTTTCTTCCTGAACAAACCTACACTTGTGAGATCATTTTTGTTCATTGATACGTTTTATTATTTTTATTTATTTCTATTTTTTTATTTGTGTGTGGGGGTGGGGTGGGGGGTGGGGTAGGGGGGGGGGGTCGAGGGGTATATTTGAGACTAAACTCCATGTATCCCCAGATAAGCAAATAAAGAAGTGAAAGTTCTTCACTTGTAGGAAAGTCGTGGCGTTAGTTACAGAATATGGGGGATCTGGTTTAAAACTCTTATAACCACAGTCTAATCCATGTGCACAATTTTATATATCCATTGAACTTTAAAGAGATTAATAGGGAGACCTCTCATCCCCAGAAAACTTATATTTATCGAGGGTTCATCTAATCCAAGGAAAAACAAAACTGCAAAAAAAAATGCACCGTGAAACAGCTACAATCAGCAGGAGAGGGACACTTTATACAGAAGCGAAAATGGGTAAGATTTTTAATGGATACACAGAGATTTTTAAATATTTGATACATTATGTGTGCTTGATATGGGCCTATTCTGCAGCGAGATAAGTACTTTTAACATCAGTTGTTGATTTGTGTTTAATAACACCCCCACCCCACAAATTATGCAAACAAATCGATTTGTTGTCCATTTTTCACTTTATTCATGTGTCAGCTGTACAAAGGATGGAGGCATATCTCAAAGTCTCGGCTATGAGTACTGCCTGTCAGTTTAAAATTGGTTTATCTGGGTTACTTTTGTATAATCATACTTTATAACTCTTTGGGAAATACCTCGGGTATCACGAGATCTCGCACAGCCACAATTTATAAGTTCAGAATATATCTCTTATACATTGAGTAACTGTCTGGAAGACGTAGAGTTTTGTCACTGAAATTTTCAAAATATGAAAATATCATATCTCTCCATTTACATTTCATGACCAATGGAAAGTCGTACGTTACTATTCCATGTACTAGGGCTGATTGGTGTCCTTTTTCAGCACTACTATTCCCAGACTATTTAAGGTTGTGTACCCGAAGACTGGTGTCATTTGGTCAGTTTTTGTCAAAGAGGTAGCACTCTAAAGTAACCAGGCAAATGACTTTTGCAAAATGGACAAAATCGCTGAAAGAGCAGTGGTTCGGTATTTGTGGGGATATTCCTACCATATATTGGTCTCATTGCGAAAAGAACACCATCCTTGTGTTCGAGAAGATGGCTTTATTTTCATCCTTGGACTGTTTATTTTTCAATGAAACAGAAGATGTTTATTCTTCCGGAACACCTCGTCTTATTTTCCCTCTGTTTATTTTTCAGGAGTCTCCATGTAAGTCTTTATTCTGTTAATATTTTGCTTCAGTTTTATTAAATTTGGATTATCGTTATGTTTACACGTTGGTATTTTCTTGCTGGTTTTTTGTTTTTTTCTCAAAATGTGGAGATTTACCATTTTGTAGAGAAAACCAAACTACCCGTGGAATGTATCAGTCCCTTGAGCAGCTGACTCCGATATACCTGTCCATGTCCGGAAGTTGAGTACCTGTCCATGTCCGGAAGTTGAGTACAGTGAATAACAATAGATGTAACTAATATGTTGGTTAAGAAATAAATTATTGCTCAACTGGTATATAAACTATCCGGATTGTGTCTATCCAAGTAACCTTATTCAAATAGTTTTAACAAACCAGATGTAGGTCGTGTGGTTTTTCTTTATATAATTGTGTCGTTGTGTAACTTAAGTCCTACCCCCGTGAAACTCTCAGTTAGGGTCCCTGACGATAGTCACCATGGTCACTGAAGCCGAGAACTGATGACGTATTTATGGATCTTCCGCTATCAATAACAGCGGATACCGTTAGCGCTCACACAAGTCGCGTGCTCCCACTGGTGACATGCTGACAGAAAGGATGTTTAACTGTGGAGGCAAATAGTCGCAACATCTGAAAAAGTATCAACCAGCTCCATCAACGACATGGATATGTCTTGGGAAAGATCTTTTATCAGAACAATATGGACTGGTGTTTTTACTATCAATGTAATCTTTCACAGATTGTCCATTTCGCAGGGACAGGTGAGTCTCATCTTCTCACTTTTACTTATTTATTACATATATTCAGATTTTGTATTTGCCACTCTTTATCAACAACATAGATGTAATGCTAATGAGCTTTTAAAGCCATGTTAGTTAGATATCTGCTGTAAATAAAAATAATTTGGCATTAAAAGTTGGAAATAGTCATTGACTTCGGTTTTCTTTAACATAGGAAATTTGTAACAAATTTTATTTCGAAATCTTATTTGTGTGATTGATTTGTGTTTATCAAGAAGTAAACAGAAAATGGATCTGGTTTCGTGTAGGTGAAGAAATGTCTGGTTCTAAAACTTTTATCGTATGTACAGACACGAATACAATAAACGTCCACGCGAATTACTCTGATAGAGTAGGAAGGAAGTTGATGATATGATTAGTGATTTAGCGAGTGATAGGTCTACCATGTAATTTTATTGAGTGTGAAATAATAACATAAATGGCATATAATCATGAGGAAGAATGAATTTTACACAAATTGTTTAACTTCGCGCACGCTTAATTTCCAGTTTAACTTTGCGGCGACTATTGACTCGTGATACCTGCATTAAGAATAATTCGTATAAACGGAAATACACAAAAAACATGCTTATTCATTTATTTATTTTTCTTTTGGTTGGTTTTGTTTCACATACATTGCAACAAAATGCCGTCATCTAGCTGAAATTTTATAACCCGGACACGCATTTCCCAAAGCAGGCGAACATATCAAGCGAAATGTAAATCATTATACTGTCTTCATATTACATTTACACTCAATATAAATGTCACAGCTTTACATGCAAACACCACACCTTGCTATGTATCTAAACGTTTGGTTTTGTACCCAGATTCAATATGATTTATCACAAAAATCAAAACAATACATAAATTAAAAAAAAGAGATAAAAAAATCGTGACAGCATTACGTACTGGAGACTCGTAGGTTATAATCACGACACAATCATTATCAACAGGAAACGGCATTTACAGTCTTCTCAATGTCATGTATAGATGTTAATTATTTAACCTCAGTGTATTCTTTTTCTTGATTTTTGTTTTGTTTGCCTTTTGTTTTTTGTTTTTTTTGTTTTGTTTTCCCCCTTTTTAGGGAGTTGTATTTTGCATGAAAAGGCACATATAGCAGATCCAGTTTGGTTCGATATGTATAATACTATAAGTAGTCTTTAACCTTCATCAAACAAATTGCAGTATGTAATTTGATATCTTAATCGACCGGTTGGTTCATCGTCATCAATAATGTAGCCACATAACTATAACATAAATATAAGCTATTAGTATGTTAATGTGATGTTTATGGGATCTCTATGTCGTCATGCAATTGAACTATGACAGAAATTTCCGAAGGCTTACATTTTTTCTTGTATCCTTTCTCATTTAAAGTCCGTTTTATATCTTTAAGCAATGTACGTTACCTTAATTTCTGTAGATAGCATGCGACGGGCCTCTCAAATGTTGTTCAGTGGGGTTTCACTCAGCTACTACTCTGAGCTGCATCAAAATGTGCACAGGGAGATAAAGCCACAAATGAAATCTGGTTGAACTTTCAAAAATTTGTGAAACGAATCTATCTTATATTAGTTATCATAAGCGAACATAAAAGAAGAAAACAATGGTGGGACGTTTAATACATCTCGAATGGCTTCAGTTGGAAATTCTATTCTTTCGCCGGATAACAAGTATCAATAACACTATTTATGTAACTGATAAATTGGCTATCGTCACTCTCTAACTCTTTGTTATCAGTATATGTCTGTAATTGATACAGCTGTCAGAAGTTCATTTACATATCGTAAGTAAATAATGGTGTTGATAAATAAACAAAATATCGGATTTGTTGTCTTCTCCGATCCTTTACCAAAACATCAATTAGCAAAACAAACACGCGCGTATGTATGTTTGTGTAAGAACATAAGGTCGGTCAATATCCCTACGTAACTTGTCTGTGACAGTAGACCGGTACTTCCGGTTAATAACAAATACCTGTGACAGATAGTTAAACACAATTTTCTATCATAAGCTCTGAACTGGCCTTCTCGTCGGTAGGTAGTAAGTTAAAAAACTCACGTGTTTTCTTGGCATGCTTCCTGTAGGGAGATCATACAATCAGCGGTTACTAAAAATAGATTTATTTTATCGCGGATCTTACAACAAATAAGGTTGCTAAACGTTTCCGCGAACTTGTATGTTTTAGTGAAAGGTCACGGTACAGTATATATTGGTAAACAGGTGCCTTATTACGATATATTCTACTTTAAACATATCAATACAATTCTTTCAAACCAATTTGGTGTGTAATTCGTTATATTTACTGAATGTACACACTTTAGGTTTCCAAAAGCGTTGAAATACATAACATAGATGTTTCATTTCAAGACAGCCTTGTTTCTTATTTTACTAAATACGGGTTAGCATATATTGTCATCTGCCTATCGAGAGGACATTGATAACTTACGTCCGATCCATTTGCGTATTATTATGCATTAAAACTTGGGTAGATGAAAATTCTATGTGTGTGGTTTGGCGCTCCATCCCTGGGAAACGGCCAGGTCCTTGCTATCATTGTTGCGTATTTTGACTAGACTCTTCACCCCAGTCGCTGTGGAGATAATGCGACGGGCCTCCTGTACGTTGTTCAGCGAGGTAGCCACCAACTAATAAGCGTCCGTGCGAATAAACAAACTATTTAACCAGTGTGAGTTAAAGGTCACGCGGGTTTATTAATTTTCATTTTTCAACATAAGAATATCTCATGACGACATCCGCGGAATCTAGATGAACCGTTGTACTAAAACACGCTCATACTATAGAACTGTCCAATTCCTTTTGAATTTTCCAAATAAAATATGTTTACACTAAACGTACAGGACGAAGGCTCAACACAGCATGTCACTCTCAGAGATTAATCTCCAAAAAAGCTTTTACAATATCGATATTTGAGGTGTTTCGCCAAACAAGTTTTACAATATCGATATCTTAGGTGTTTCGCCAAACAAGTTTTACAATATCGATATTTGAGGTGTTTCGACAAATCCTCGGAAATCTAAACATCACGTGGTGAATTCGTAATGCACGTACCGTATTAACCGAGAAATTATTGGCGGCGGATTTTAATTATCTGTGTGCTTAAATACGGGACAATATCTGAATATAAATTCAGTTTGTATTCTTAATCCGGGTCAGTATTTAGAGATATGATGTCGTGTGATTAATCCGGGCCAATATCTAGAGATATGATGTCGTGTGTTTAATCCGGGCCAATATCAAGAGATATGATGTCGTGTGTTTAATCCGGGCCAATATCTAGAGATATGATGTCGTGTGTTTAATCCGGGCCAATATCTAGAGATATGATGTCGTGTGTTTAATCCGGGCCAATATCTAGAGATATGATGTCGTGTGTTTAATCCGGGCCAATATTTAGAGATATGATGTCGTGTGTTTAATCCGGGCCAATATCTAGAGATATGATGTCGTGTGTTTAATCCGGGCCAATATCTAGAGATATGATGTCGTGTGTTTAATCCGGGCCAATATCTAGAGATATGATATCGTGTGTTTAATCCGGGCCAATATCTAGAGATATGGTATCGTGTGTTTAATCCGGGCCAATATCTAGAGAGATGATGTCGTGTGTTTAATCCGGGCCAATATCTAGAGATATGATGTCGTGTGTTTAATCCGGGCCAATATCTAGAGAGATGATGTCGTGTGTTTAATCCGGGCCAATATCTAGAGAGATGATGTCGTGTGTTTAATCCGGGCCAATATCTAGAGATATGATATCGTGTGTATTCTGGAACAATATATAAATATACAAGTTCAATCGTACTCAGTCCTGGCAAATAGCAGGATGCCATTTCTCATGTACTCAATCCGGACTAATATTTGAATATATCTGGGCAAATCTCTAGATATATAATTTCTTACGTTCAACTCTGATCGAAACCCTGATAGATATCTGAATATTGGCTAGTATCCGGATCTAATCTTTTTGTCCAAAATATGAGCAAAGTAAAGTATGTTTTATTTAACTTATTTATTTTTTGTCCCAATTTTTGTGAATTTAATCTTGGTAAATATCGAACCATGCTTCATTTATACATAATCCAGTCATGTTTGAACGGACCTTCATCCATTGCGTGTTAATTTGTACTCGGGGCCAAAATTCTCAGTCTTAATTCAACCAAATTAAGATAAATGTAGCTTAAACGCGGTAAAATGGCTTTCGAGTAAACTCAAGCCAGTATTTAAAGTCACCATTAATTTGTACCGATTCAGGGCCAACGTATAATGCTGATTGCTGTGTACTAAATGAGAGTCAGCAAACGTATAGAGAAGACAAAATGCATATACATCTGTTCTACATCAGGATGAATTTCTTCTCTTATTTGTCCTAAACCGGAACCTTGGTCAAGTGCCCCACTAATGCGTACTAGTTCGAGGCTAACTTCTAGTGTTTGTGTGCTGTCGAGTATTGAGTCAGGGCGAGCACCATGTCTTCTTGTTCCGTACTAAATCAGGGCCAGCATCATGTCTTCTTGTTCCGTACTAAATCAGGGCCAGCATCATGTCTTCTTGTTCCGTACTAAATCAGGGCCAGCATCATGTCTTCTTGTTCGGTACTAAATCAGGGCCAGCATCATGTCTTCTTGTTCGGTACTAAATCAGGGCCAGCATCATGTCTTCTTGTTCGGTACTAAATCAGGGCCAGCATCATGTCTTCTTGTTCGGTACTAAATCAGGTCTTCTTGTTCGGTACTAAATCAGGGCCAGCATCATGTCTTCTTGTTCGGTACTAAATCAGGGCCAGCATCATATCTTCATTTCGGTACTAAATCAGGGCCAGCATCATGTCTTCTTGGCAGGACCAGCATCATGTCAGCATCAGGGCCAGCATCTTCTTGTTCGGTACTAAATCAGGGCCAGCATCATGTCTTCTTGTTCGGTACTAAATCAGGGCCAGCATCATGTCTTCTTGT